ACGGATTATCGTTTAACGGAACTAACTTTTTAGTTAACGGATTAACGATTAACGAAACTAACTTTTTGATTAACGATGCCCACCTATGCTTGCGGCCACTTAAAAGCACACCATCTATCTATAATTATACTAGGCTAGCACAGCTATCAGCATAGAACCGACGGTCACGATAAGTTTTAAGCCTGTTTGATGTTTTTCTTTATAACTGACGACCAAGAAGCAGGATATATAAAGAGCGGTGTGGACGTTGTTCATGATGTTGCCTACATGAGCTTGCGCCGTCTATCAATACTTTTATAGAACAGTCTAATTAGTTATATTTACATTGGGCGTTTATAAGAAATATTCGCTTGCAAATAAGGTGCGTTGTGCAATCCTAAATAAATAATAGTTGCATGAAAAGACACTTATCATAATGAGGAAAAGAAGAATAAAATTAGCAAAGCAGATCACCAGTCGTCTCTGGTCAAATAAACTGATGCGCTAATGAGCAAGGAAACGAAGCCACAGAAATAGGGCGGTTTTGCAGCTTCGGGCTATTGTTACGGCTCCTGATTAGGTTATGAGCAAAATGTCTCGGTGGCTCCGGCTCCGGCTCCGGTCAGAATGTTCCGGCTCCGGCTGCTCCGGCTGTCTGGCAGCTCTAGCTCCGGATTCTCTCTTCCAATTCGTGATCAACTCGCATTTGATAGCACGGAGAGCGCAGCCGAACGGTGGCATTGCAGCGCAGTCGCACAGTGCGGTTGTGGAGAATGGGAAACTTTATTATAAGAAAATGAGAAACTAAAAGAGACCACACTCGTAATCCACATATTTGCGTCTAAAATGTCGCCAGGGCCGTCCACCTTTTTGATCCATATTAAAACAAATGAAGTCCAAATTAAAACAACTGACATCAGGTTAAAAACACGTGACAACCATATTAAATCACATGCAAGTTAAAATATCAAGGTAAAATAGATGACAAGCAAATTAAAATATATGAAATGCAGTTTAATCCGATCCGACATCTTGGTGTTTTCCGAACAGTTTGTCTGCATCTATGTTATTAGCCTAAATATAAGCTAAGATAGAGAAACGACTGGACTGCCATCAACTTGAGCGTTTATGTGTAAGCTTTCAAATAATTTGGTGTGTACCTACTGGAACTTACAAGAGCATGTCTATAAATTGACAATGAATACATATAACATATACTTCATAAGAACGGAAAATTTGCGACAACGAAATAAAATCTGAAATGTGTTGCATTGCATTGGGTGTCTGTTATATGCATGCCAGTCAAATCGGAAGTTTTTGTACCTGTTGTAAAAAAGAGGATCTGACGCCTTTCCCGCTTCAACATCAGTGCTATCCGGACCGATCGATTACCTACATCGACGTATATTTAGGGTAATGACACATTTGCAATAAAACCGCTTGAAACTATCAAATTGATTTGGTTTGAATTGCATGTCATTTATTTTTATTATCTTGTCATCTGTTTTCACTTGCATGGCAGATGTTTTAATATGGATGTCATTTGTTTTAAACCGGATGTCAATTGTTTTAATTTGGACTTCTTTTTTAATTTCGATCGAAAAATGTGTAAAATAATCAAACTTTGAAAAAAATAATCAATAGCTGCAACATTTAATGCCGCATAAAAATAGGGCTACATTGTTTTCTTCTTTTGCACATCTGGACTACGTAGGACAGTCGAGACAAATAATTCATGTTTTCGTCTCAACAGATGACATTTTCAGAAGCCCCTCCCGCTGCGGCAAGATAAATAGCGCTTTGATTTCATGAATTTTGGCGCTGTATGCACTGACAGGGCCTCACATCTGTTACATTTCCCGGCCCTGCTCTTCTGCGCACTTCATGGCAAACAGATAATGTTGCAACACTTGCTGTCATGCACCGTATCAGGGAAGTGCTTGTGAGCCAGACACCTGACATGGGCCGGGCCGACCAAACCTTCAATAGAGACGACTGCTCCCCTCAGACCACCGAGGACGTCCTTCTGCATCACCATGAAGATGCCGTCACGTCTCCCAGTGGCGGTCTGTGTTCTCTGTCTGTTGTGGGTCGCTGAGCCGGCAGCTGGACTGTGGCTGACCTCGGATGTCAACGGTACGTCACAGGAGGATTCTACTGTACGGGACTGCAGTGACCTGCCCTTCGGTTCTGCTAGTGGAGTGTATAACATCCACCCTGACCTACTGACTCCGACCCCGGCGTACTGTGACATGGATGATGGTAAGGGATGGACTGTCTTTCAAAGAAGAGCCGACATCACACCCAGGCAAGACTTCTTCCAGGACTGAGAGGCCTACAAGTGGGGCCTGGGAAGTTTCGATGGAGAGTTCTGGTGGGGACTTCATCACCTCTGGCAGCTGACCTCCCAACTAGACCGCGTTTACGAGTTACGGGTCGATCTATGGGATTTTGAAGAGCAGACGAGGTACGCCACCTACCAGAAGTTCACCATCGCACCCGAGGCCGACGGCTACCGAATTGACCTCACAGACTACGCCGGAAACGCTGGGGACAGTTTAACCAGCCACCGGGGAATGAAATTCTCCACATTTGACAGAGACCAAGACACGTGCTTAAGTAGCTGTGCGTCGGCTTACGAGTCGGCCTGGTGGTATTATTGTTGTTACCAGTCCAACCTTAACGGAAGGTACATGCCAGGATCAAATGATTATAAAAGTATCAAATGGAATTCGTGGAGCACGTTCAGTCTCAACGCCACCACAATGAAGATTAGACCCACAAATAAAGTATAGGCACGCGGAGGCTGTAAGCAGCAGATGCAATCTTTCATTTGGTTGCATTCCCGCCACTTTGTTTTCGATTTGGAGAAAGCTATGTTAAGCAGCTGTTTTTGTTCAACTGCTGATAGGTATGCATTTTTTCCCGTGAACTGGGTCAGCAAAAACTGAATGTTCCATCGAAATCAATTTCAGTGATAAACTGAAAATGTTCGTGTGCTTGTTTATTTTTATTGAGGTGTGTATTGTACTTGTTGCATATGCTGGCATTACGCGTCAGGGTCATGGGTGTAATCTGTTTGTGTAACAATTTTTTATGGTTGATTTAGTGACTCAGCACATGCCAAACCACTGGGAATGGGAGATCCCGACATTACAGGGTGTTATGGTTAAACTGTCGATCATCAGAGAATAGAATGATAAAAAATGGACGCACGAAAAACTGAGCGAATTGACCTTGGTACGAAAAACTGGTTACAAAATGCTCTGATTTCACACTCACTTTTTAAGCCCTACCTTTTAATCTTTCAAAAACGGTTTGGTGGCAGTCGATCAGTTTGAGCTGACACATGTCATGAGATTACCGCGGACAAAGCCACGTCTTTTCACAGCCACTTGGCTACTCTTACACGGCCTTACTTTGCTCTGTTATGCGAAACATGTGATGCGCGTCGAAAGCTGTCAGCATTACTAGAACCGACAATTACGATAAGTTTTGGACATGTCAGATGTTTTTCTGGAAACTGGTGACGATGAAGCAGAAAATAAAGAGCGGCGTATACGTGGCTCATGACGTTGCCTACGTAAGCTTGTGTCGTCTGTTAAGGCTTTTATAGAACAGTTTAATCGGTCATATTTACATTGGGCGTTTATAAAAAAAGTTCACTAATAAATAAGGTGCATTGTGCGGTCATTAATTAACAATGTTTGCATGTAAAGACACTTATCATAACGAGCAAGAAAAATAAAACACATAATACAACTAGAAGAGCAAACAACCATTGCACGATCCATAATTGAGCGCGGTGCCTGCTCGGCGGCTGCGCAGGGCGCGATGTGCGTGCGCCTGGCTGTTAGGCTGTACCGCGGTGTCTTCGTCCGCGCGGTTCAGTTGGCCCGCGCGGCATTCTGAAATAGACCGGCAGACTGAACAGCTGTGTTCCTCTACACTCATCAGTCATCATGGGCCATTCGTCTCTGGTCAAATCAACTGATAGCTACGGGGCATGGATACGAAACCATAAAAATGTGGACGATTCTGGCCCCGGTTTACTGTTACGGCTCCAGATCAGATTTTTAATAAAATGTCTCGGCGGCTCCGGCTCCGGCTCCGGTCAGAATGTTCCGGCTCCGGCTGCTCCGGCTGTATGCCAGTTATAGCTCCGGCTTCTCTCTTACCAAACGTGATCAATCCACATTTGAAAACACAATCAGCACGGTAGAACGGTCGCAATGCAGCGCAGTCGCACAGTGCGGTCGTAGTCGTAGAGAATCGGAAACTGATCACTGTAAAGTGTGAACTGAATCTCGCCTCGTGCGACATGCATGGCTCAGACAATAGCAGAGAGGAGTCTCAAAAAGACATCACTCACAATTTTCATCCCAGCATCTAAGCATTCCGGGCCGGCTAGGGTTCGTCCAGTTTTAGCAACTTTTGAAATATGATCAATAGCTGGAACCTCTAATATCGCTTAGAAATAGGGCTATGTTGTGCTTTTTTGCGCATCTGGACGACGCCAGACAGCCGAGATAAATAATCTCTGTTCTCGCCTCAGCATATGACATTTTCACAAGCTATTTCCACTGCAGCAAGATAGCTCTTCCTTGCACGGATTTTGGTGCCTCAGCACCCACAGTCGACACACATTTGTTCTATTTCCCGGTTCAGTTCTGCGCATTTGATTTCAGACAGACGATGCAGGTGCAACAGCTGCTTTCGTGAAATTCTGTCGGGAATGGATGTGAACCAGACACCTGTGAGGTGGTATAAAACGGGCCGATCCGACCACGCCTTCAGTGGAGGCGACTGTTCCTCTTAGACCACCGAGGACGTTCTTCTGCAGCACCATGGAGATAGCGCCGCGTCTCCCAGTGGCGGTTTGTGTTCTTTGGCTGCTGATGTGCACCGTTGACCTGACCTCTGGGCTGACCTCTGATGTCAACGGTACGTCAAAACAGGCTTCACTTGTACGCGACTGCAGTGACCTGCCTCAAGGAACAGCCAGTGGTGTCTACATGATCATGGTAGATCTTCTGACTCCGACCCCGGCCTACTGTGACATGGACGATGGCGAAGGGTGGACCGTCTTCCAAAGAAGAGCCGACATCACACCCAGGCAGGACTTCTTCCAGGACTGGGAGGCCTACAAGTGGGGTCTCGGAAGTTTAACAGGAGAGTTCTGGTGGGGACTTCATCACCTCTGGCAGCTGACCTCCCAGCTAGACCGCGTTTACGAGCTAAGGGTGGATCTCTGGGATTTTGAAGAGCAGACGGCGTACGCCACCTACCGGAAGTTCGCCATCGAATCCGAGGATGAGGGATACAGAATTGACTTTGGCGACTACTTCGGGACCGCCGGAGACAGTCTAACCTACCACAAAGGAATGAAGTTCTCCACTATTGACAGAGACAACGACATTTGGCCGGGTAACTGTTCATCTAACAACCAAGGGGCCTGGTGGTATAAATCCTGCTGCATCTCTAACCTCAACGGGCTGTACAAACCCGGAGTATCAGACTACATAACCGTCTTTTGGCATGAATGGCGACACAACGACAGCCTGAACGCCACCACCATGAAAATTAGACCCACAAATACGCTCTAAACACGCGGAGCCGTAGGCAGCAGATGCAAGCTTTTCCACATTTATTTCTCTCATATACGCATATTACATATGTATATGATATCATACATAACAGTAGAACACTTCAATCATGATAACATAAGATAACAGTGATATTTACACTTACGTCGTTCGTGCATCACATATGTCACCCATGTATGCACAGCCTGTCTTAAAAGTACCGCGTAAAGTGACGGTGGATCCATCAAGCCTGACCGAGGAAGGGCCTGCTATAATTTGAAAGTCACCGAACCAGCTGACCTGGGGAATGGACGAGGTGTCAATTGCTTCGGTGACTCAAATTTAGCAGGCCCTTCCTCGGTCAGGCTTGATGGATCCACAGTCACTTTGCGCGATACTTTTAAGACAGACTGTACAGTGTACGCGCTTAAACAAAAGTTCACAGTGCCAAGTTCTACGGGACCCTGTCCCGCCCTGCATTTCCCCGCAAATGGACCACATACCCGTCCTCGCCGGGGCGATGTCCGTATAGGTCGCTGCACTGGCCGGACCCGCGATCCATCACCCTGACAGGGGGGCAAGTCGTGCGCCCCGCCGGCCAGCCGACCCTTTATAGAGCCGGCCTTCGGTTAGCCGGGTATAGCAGATACAAACTTTCATTAACCTGCACTCTTAGTAATGTATTTTCGATTTGGAAAAGTCTTATTTGGTTTTGGGAAGCTGTTTTTTCATTAACTTCTGAATGTGGATTTTGGTTTTGTGATGTTCTGTAAAAATGTATTTTGTCATCGAAATCGGTTTAATTAATAAACTGAAAAAAATCGTTTTCTTTTTTGAAGTGCATTTGTTTGGTTTCGTCGGCATTACGCTCGGTGTATAAGCACTGATTTGTAAATAGGCCTAGTATTTTTCTATGCTTTTTTCTATGGATTATCATTCCCACGAATATTCATCTTTATCTGCATGCACCTACTTTATCATTATTATCACCAGTAAAACGCCTTTTGGGCGAAGAACGAGCGAGCGAGATAGTGAGCCCTGCACGTGCGGAAAGGCGAGAGGGTACTTCCAACGGGCTTGCGCAAAGCACCCTTCTAACCGGTCGCTAACGGTGTACCAAATTTGAACGCAATCGGCCCAGCCGTTCCTGAGATCCGGAAGCGGCATTCTGCACGTGCGCACGTGCAAACGGGGTCCAAACTGACTTTTGCACGGCACCCTACTAATTGGTCCCCAACCGTGTACCAAATTTGAGCGCAATCTGCCCAGCCGTTCTCGAGATCTGGAAACGCCCCCTACACGTGCGCACGTGCGGTAGCACCTTAACCGCAACACATGGGAATACATTGCCTGGTGGGTGCCTACCTGTATGCCAAGTTTCAGCGAAATCGCACCAGTAATTACCGAGTTATTAAAATGGGAACAAATTTGACACCTCTTATTGTTGTAATTTGCACGTGCACTGGGGGTGACCCACATGCATCGAGAGTATCCTATTTTTGGTAGAAGGGATGCTGCTACCCTACAAAAATTACCGCAAGTCAATCGCCCAAGCGGCTGCTGAGATATGAGCCTCTCAAAATCACTACTTTTGCAAAACAGCTTGAACACCCTTGACTTTTCACGTGGCACGTGCCACGACGGTCACTGAGGTGTATCAAAAGTAGTCAATTACGGGGTAGAAGGGATGGGGCTACCCAGCAAAAAAGACCGCAGGCCAATCGGTCCAGCGGTTGCTGAGATATAAGCCTCTCAAAAGCGTTACAGGCCGGGCCGGGCCGGGCCGGGCCGCTCATACTGAGATTTTTCCGTTATATTGAAAAGACTCGCTTCGCTCGCTGCGCTCGCTCGCTCGTAACTACTTATTACTACTTATTACTACTTATCACTACGTATTACTTAAGATTAAAGGTAGTGTGCCACCTTTGAAAGATTTCCCATTTTATTTTTCCTAGGATAAGAAGCTTCTGTTTTTACCTAATATCGCAAAAAAAAAATCAAAAATGGGCCTGGAATAGTGCCTTTTTCGCCTAAAAGTTTATCGGTTTTTCGATATGTATAACAACTGTAGTGGGCTGAACTGCAAACAGGCGTCGGCAACAATCGCAAATGCGGCGCACATGTGACAATAAGCAAAGGTCATTATAGAGTTACGACGTACGGGAATGAGTTATCAGCTGTCTAATCGTAGACAACACAATGTCGAGCCTTAAACTGTAAGCCTGTATTGGTATTGTTTCTTTTATTTGGCTGTCGAACATTATTTATGGTTTGAAATATGATTTTATGTAAAATAATTGATATGAAACAGCCGTCTCTTAAGTTATGACCCCATTTCACCACACGCAAGTGGCAGAAATGACAATGATCAGTTGACGCATTTTTCTTGGCCGAAGTCAGAGCGCGCGGCCCGACGCACCACCACCGCACCACAAAGTATGAGCAGAAGCCGCGCCCAAAGCCAGGGCCCCGGTAACGTGAGGTAGCCGAGTCGGGGCAGCGTGCGCTGACCCAAGCCGGGGCCGCAGCTTTGGGCGCGGTCTACCGCATCCCCGCGGGCAGCCCCGGGCTATCACATGACACCGGGAGGACGCGCGGCCCCGGCTTGGGTCAGCGCACGCTGCCCCGACTCGGCTACCTCACGTTACCGGGGCCCTGGCTTTGGGCGCGGTCTACCGCACCACCTAACAGGCGTGTTCGAAACCGCAGGAGATGCTGATGAACGGGTTTATCGAAACTTGATTGGATGAGCATATCGGTAATAGCGATTTCAGTGTGTGCATTTATTGTTCATAGTGGTGTGAAATGTGGTTGGGGTACGACCGACAACCCGTCGGGGCGAATTTCGCACTGGGGTACTCAAAATTTGAAGAATTTAAGACGTTTCCATGAGTTTTGAAGGTATGGATAAGTTCTAAAAATCCGGTTCTCCTTATCTGGGCCATTAACTCCATACGGTCCAGGAAAGCTGGCACACTACCTTTAAGCTTACCTACCAAGCTATATAAGTTGGCAGACAGATCAGTTTCACAGACAAGTACCATATAGTTCAGTGGAGCGTAATTAGACGCCAAGTCAGGCGGGGTCGGGGCCGGTGTCGACTGTTTCCTAAGCCGGCTCCGACACCGCGGGGGTGGGAGACGGGGAGGGGGTGTTGATTACCGTACCAGTGGAGTGACCCGCATCCCGGGATTACGTGCCAGGGTGTCGGCGGATGCACCGACAGAGAAAGAGTGACACGGCTGATCAGGGGTCGAGATATGCACCACGCGGTAACTGCAAAATGTCAATCTCTCTGATCCCCAAGTCTCGGCTCAAGGGTCACAGGTAAGGCAGGGGTAGTTAGGCCCTCAATGGAGCAGCGGAGGTGATCTGAGGGTATCGGCAGCGGGGGTTGGGGAGGGGACGCTACCGATTAGGACACCCGACACATGTGGAACGGTAATATCTCCTGAATGCTGGCGCCCGACCGTAATTAGACCGGCGCAGACGTGGGTCAGGGAAAACCGGAGCACCAGATCACTGGGCTGGTGTCCCATCGTACAAATATAGGTGTTTGGTATACCTACCTCTGTATGAGTATGTGTATATTTTATGTGCAAGTCCATTGTATATTTTATCCTCGGGGGGGGGGGGGGGAGGGACCAATGGATGCCTAATTATAATAAGCAGTTGACCAAAGTCAGCGGCTTATTGGCCAGGCTTGTTAATTTCCTAAAATTTTTGTGACTTTTGTTTAAACGGGCCCTCTCACCTTCAAACAAGCAAATGAATTAACATAAAAGTGATGTATCGTGATTAAAAAGAAAAGCTTAAATGGATATCTACCAAAATATACGAAAAAATATTCACATTTTCATAGAAATTAGACTTTAATTTTTATCAATTTTTGGAGCCTCTGGTGTTCCTATCACGTCATTTGGAAGCAATACTTTGGCATCTTTTAAGTGGACAAATGCTGTGCGCAAGGCAGTACCATACTACCACAGCAGTAATTGCCTTTTACTAAAATTTTAGTATAAGATATAAAAATCGCTAAATCTGCGCTGACGAACACATTTCAGAGGGTCCCTCAAGCTATATGCATTCGGTCCTCTGAATTTGAGTACTGCTGATTTTTGGCTTAAATATTTCCAATTTAAGGCATTTCCCGATGTTGTGAATACCAAAACCGGTAATTGCGAGCCAGGGACCCCGATTTGGCTATCTCAGCTCAAAACTAATGTTATCGTGGGATGGTCATTTGAAGTAAGTATCGCTGCAACAAAGCATTCGTCGAGAATAAATATCGTAACATTGACACTAGGAATAAACTGTCGTCAAACAACGCTTTATAAAACATAAGTCAAACTTATGAATTTATACGAGAACAAAACTTGTCCAGTTGACCAGCGAATGCATATTCTAAACCTTCCAAAGCTTGATGTGGACTGTCTAGATAAATTTACGCCATAGTTTTGAAAATGTTTATTTGTGACCAAGTGTAAGAAGCGTTATATCTATGGCCTTAATTATCACACTTCATGCTACACGTGGCACTATTTGCGGCACAAATAGCAAGTGATGTTTTTCTTTTTCTTATTTTCTTCACGATGCAATGAAATTGCTTTGCTTTCGTCATAATAGTCAGGTATTTGTAATTTCCTAGACTCAATATTCTAAGTTAACAACAATTAGAATAGAAAGACCGACTTGAATTCCATAGGCGAACGATGAAATTCCTGGAAAATTGAAGAGTTCCGTCACATGCCGCACTGGCAAAGACTATTTGTATAATACTTCTTTCTTAATCAAAACGTACATCCTTGCTAGTGATTAATTTCATTCCTTTTTACATTTTCTTCTCAAGACAAAACGATCATGTTAAAAAAGATAATTTATTCGCAAAGCCTTATAAGAAATCAAGGTGCTTGCTTATCTACAAAAGCCCTAAAGCAATTGCCAATAAAATACAATATTGCAATGGGATAAACAATACTACTTGTCCTAATCTCTTATCAATTATAAATTAAAATATCATTTATTTAAAACTAACCCCACTGTCTTTATGACATCTTATCTACTTGATATCCACAATCATATTTCACCCAAAACTAAATCTAAACCTGCGTCCCTTTCCCTTCAGCTACCGCCATGCGCATCGCGCACGCGCGATTCGGGGATTATCATTGGCGTCTTGCCACCGCGCCAGGGCACCGGATTTAATCCCAGCGGGTCTGTACCGTCCGATGGATAGATGATAACTTTGTGGGTCACCGGTCCTCGGCTCATTTGCTCGTGAGGTACGTACAGTTCGCAGCCCGTGCGTTCGATTAGTGGTGTCAGCGAATCAGCGAGGTTACCTCCTTCTGCAGCATCGCAATGTAAGTAGACACGCCCTGTTATTATTTAAAGCCTATCAATTTTTGTAATAGGTGTAAAACGTCCCTTTCCAGTCATGCTTACCTACATTTTCATTGCATTCGTAAGTTTCTAAACGCAAATGATGATAAAAATACCAGTTAAATACCTACATTGTACCTAGTCTTTTGCGTTGTTTACTAAATTGCGATTCGCTTAGACTCTTTGGAGCCGTAGACTTATTCGAGAACTATACCGTGATATCTCACCTAGAAACTAAACAGAACATTTGTAGGTTTACGTTATGGGCTGGTGCAAGAGAATACAAATTTACCACTGTAGGTTACTTAACCACAAAATAGTTTGCCGATTTTACCTAGCTACGATTTTACCTGAACTTATTTTGGAATACTCGTAAGGGGCTGCAGGTCGGAAATCGGTAATTACGGTCCCAACTTTGAAAGTAAGGGCATGTAAGGGTGCCAGCTCGGGAGTCGGGAAATACGGGTCATACCCACTGAATCGGGATATAGGGATTTTTTTCATGATCATTACATGATTATGCTTACCTATGAGTGGTTGATGAGTTATTCCATGAGTAAGAATTAAATTAGTGTGCTGCCAGGATGCCAGCAATTAGTAATACTCAGCTCTCTCCCAAAATAGTAGCTTGGTATATGAAGGTAGGAACTTTTTAGGGACTTTTGGGAGATATCGTTTTAAATGAAGAAGTAGATAAAAGACTCTGGACATCTAGGCCATTCAATTGGATCTTAATATACATGTAAAGCGAAAAAAAATCGTTTTCACGACGGCCATCTGGTACACATTTGGTGCACATCTGGTGCAGATTAGGTGCAGATCTGGTCAAATAAGGTTCAGTGTGTCTCTTAGTAGCGATCAGCTAGCGTTGCACTAATTGCTTACATGCCTGCTTTGTCATATTATCAGAGTATCATCGGTTAAAACACGGAAATAAATTCATGGAATAAAGATATTTGCTGTAAAAGAGATTAGGTGCAGGTTTAGTCAAATTAGGTGCACTCGCCGGATAGCTCGTCGTGAAAACGACCTATAAAGGTGCGTTTGTAAAATGTTACTGTATACGTATAGCAATAATATATGTACATAATAAATTGAATCGCAGCCGTCTGTCGGCTTCTCTTGCTAACAGACCCCGCCTTTTGCGTCTTACAGGTCTCCTGTGGCCAGCACGGCTGTGGCAGAGTGTCGCGGAAAACGTTCCTCTTCCGAGAGCCAGCCTGGCACACCACCTCCCAGCAAGAAACCCAGAACGACGGCCGCCTACCAGTGGTAAGTACACTTGTTTTTCTGTGTTGGTACCTCATCGGGTGCGTCTTCGTTTCACTCACTAACTGACCAATTGAACATTGATGATGGCCTCTGGGGGCTCCCGAGTCTGATGTGATCTAACACAGTGTTTTTCTGGCACACACATGGTATCCGACAGCTACAAAATCCATGGGACGCTTCAGAATTCCATTGAACATACAAGAAGCTGTTGTTTTCCATTCCGCTCCTCGGGGACACAACTGGGCGTAACGATGTCACCAAAATGGCGCTGTGGTGACGTCGGGCTGCCGACAGTGGTTTTCCATCACTTTCCTTTGTCATGAACCCGAAATACTAAGAAGTTCTCTTCATGCTGTTTTACCGATATAATTTCCTAGATATTTCTCAAATGTTCACAGCCTGACCAAACTACGCGAATAGCAGAGACTCTCGATTTTTTTTAAATAAATTGGCGTCTTGTGACGTCGCAACGTCCATGTTTTGTAACGCTTAAGTGGCGAAATAATCCCTAGTTGCAAAGCAGTAGAGATGCGCCACAGTGGCAAAAAGTTGCCTGAGCCTTTGTAGGATAGAGCCTGCAGGTCAATCTGCCCTCTGACCCCCTGACGCCTGCACCGTTCTCAGGGAGGGCACTCCATCGCCGCCCCCGAGGACCCGTATCTGTCGTCTGCGCCCCCGCCGCTCTCTGGCTGCCGTCTTCAGCGCGGTGTCCAAGGATGGTCCTCCCGTGCCGCTGCTCCGACCCCGGCCCATCCGCACCCCACTGGACCTGCTGGAGAGCCTGGCCAAGGAGGAGACACACCGGGAGTTCACCACCAGTGGACTGTTTGCCAGTGAGTACAGACGACATTGGTTAGGAGAGAACTGTGATGGATTTTTAACTTTTCTGGAGACGGGTTGTGTGTTCTGGAGTGGTTTTCTGTGTTCATGGCCAGTAACAACTGACCTGCTGCCTCGGAAGTGGAAGCAAATCTGTGATGAACATTCGACTTCTTTCTGGACGCTAATGGCAGTTGTGTGTGTTGATGCCCAGCGTCTACCGCCACCTAACCGTTCTCCCGTTCCGTTGCAGTCCCGTGTCCGAAGGAGGGGTGCGGCACGGTCTGCCGGGAGCCGAGCCGCCACTGTCCGCGGCCCTACCGCGAGTCCCGGCCGGAACTGTGTCTGCCGGCCGAGGTGCTGCTGCCGCCCGGGGCCGGCGCCGGTCTGGGGGCCGGCCTGGACGGCCTGCGCTGCCCCTCGTGCGGCTGGTGCGTGGCGCTGCGCGTCGGCCCGCTCTGGACGCCGCTGGAGCTGCTGCTCAGCCTGGTCCAGTGGCGCGCCGCCGGCTGGCACCCGGTCCAGTCGGTGGCCGATCGCGCCATCCTCTACGTGCTCATCAAGTACGTCTACGGTGAGCGCGAGCGGTCGTCCGCCATGCGAGAGCCCCTCTTCGCCCCGCCTCCCGTCGGCGACTCGGCGTTCTTGCTGTTCGCCGAGGGCGGCGAGGCGGTCGGATTCGCCACGCTCAAGCGGCGCGGACAGCTGCTGAGGCCCGACGCCGGACCGGAGACGTTCGACATGGACGTGCTCGACTGTGTGTTTGTGCGCCGGTACGCGCGGCGGCTCGGCCAGGCGTCCTCTCTGCTGCTGGAGCTGTGCCGCGCCGGTCAGCTGGGCGTCAGTCACCCCACGCCAGCCATGGACCACCTGCTGCGCAAGTTTGTGCGCCGTCACGCGTGGTGCCGCCGCGTGCTGCACCAGGTGACGTGGACGGCCGGCGAGGGTCACCGGAGCAGCGTGTGGAGCGCCGTCACCCGAGAGGAGCTGGAGGACGCCGAGGACCTGTACCGGGAGCGGCTGCGGCAGACCCGAGGACGGGACGGGTCCCCCGAGAGGACGCCCCTGTACCAGCGGCTGTGTCCGTCGTCGTAGGTGACCTGGGTGATCCCGTGTGGCAGCTCCTGCATGCAGCCTAAGCATGCCAGCTTTGGCAACCTTTCATGAAAGGTTTGTACGATGCATCGGAGCTTGAACTTGGAACCCTGTGGTTGCGAGCTTTTCCATGCTCTTATTAGGGGTGATCATTTGAGCTTGTTTTAGCAAAATAATGAGCTTGTCTTTTGATAGGTCTACCAATCAGGGAGTCAGTTAGTGTGGACAGGGTGTTTTTTTTGTCTTTTGTCAGTGTGCTTGCCAGTCGGTTTGCCATGTTATTTGCTGTCATATTCTGTTAGTCAGTATGTCATTAAGTCTTTTAGCCAGTTTGTTAGTCATCAGTGCTGTAAGGCGGCCGGCGAAGCTTCAATTGTGCAATGATTTGCCTTGCAATAGATTGATCATCAGGTTTGCATCGCAATGTTTCACTTTTATGAAGCATTGTGTCTGATTTCTTTTGTTTTGTAACTCGTATCGAACTTTGTTCTTGGATGTCTGTAGTTTGATGTCCTCATCGAACCATATACTGTATGCACAGTGTATTGGCCGCGCATGTGATCCAACGGTAACCTTTGAGCCGTTTGCTGCTCGTCTGATGCTTTGTTGATGCTGCATGTATCATCTGGTGTGCCATATTGATTTGTCTGTAACCTAGCTCCGTACGCAGGTAAACGTGTTCTCCGCCGTGTCCTCTGGATCCTGACCCGATCCATTCGTCCCGTCCTCACAGATCCAACAATGGCGGCCACGTCATTGTGCTCCATCGCCCACCATTGCCCTTTGTTGGCCCTTGTTGTTGTATCACGAGCCAGAGTCATTCACACCCTTGTAATGTGTTTCATTCTATCCAGCTTCTATCAGCGGTATGTGCAGATGTCTCATTGGTCTTTGGTGTCTGCTGGTCCGTCAGCACGAATGTTCGTGAGCGATAGGCAGATGTACGTGTGAGTTGTGTTCGCCAAGGTGTTCGTTTTACGTGTTGTGGACGATGGTGTACATAATGTGCCTGTAATACAGCCCATAATATGTCCCCAGTATTTTTCATGAGTAGAGGGACGTTAACAGAAAAGATTAATAGAAAGAAAAGGTCATACTTCTCAGGATATACACAAATGTAACATTTATTCATGAATGGGTAAATTGGAAGAAATATTTTGTTCGATACACAACCGCAAAGACAGGTAGGAAGCCAGAGTAGATTTCTATTGCAAGTAATATTGTAATATTTACTTGCAATAGATGATGTAAGGCAGGGGTCGGCAAATGGGGGGTAACGGAGCCCTTCGCCGTGATTGATAAGGGTCTCAGGGAAAACCATCATTTTTTAGAATTCATGACTCGCACGAACTGATAGCGTGATGCATGTGAAATGCGTCGAATTGCCACTCCACCCTGGCATGGTCTCTAGAAACAGGTCACAGGTGAAGGTCTTTAGATCAAGCAGTAAATTTTTTAGATAAAAATGAATGACTCGGAGTTACTGAAAGATTAGCTGTAATATGCTACTCATTACTTGAGTAATTCGTGAAAAAAAAACGGAATGGTTCATCCGTTTTTGGAAGTGTTCATCCTACCTCTGTATAAGTGCGAGGGTTAAAATGTTACATTTGATATGCAGAACGGTGGCGACCGAATACCAATGACCTTTGCTATGTAAGCAATGGGGTCTGATAGGTGGGGGCCCTGACCGGCGTCCAAAAAAGGGGCATCCCCTGAAGGACCTGCCGGCCACCGATGTAAGGGAAAGGCATTTACTGAAAAATGAACATTTTTCTTGGGATTGAAACTCGTTCAAGTCGAGCTTTACGTGTGACTACTCCTGAAGCGAATTTTAGAGATTCCACAAGCATATTTATTTACGCTAAAACAATAAAAATGCGTTTCACTATGAAAGCTCCTAGGCATACATGCATACAAATCCATCTTTTGTGTACTTACCCATGGTGTTAAAGCAGCAACTGTTGACTCCTTCCAGTCCAAAGGCAGGAGTTACCACCCGCCGACTTTAGTCAGCGCTTGCTTCCTTCAGACCCTTCAGACTGTCACTGAGGCTACTACGCGCTGGCCTCCCCGACTTAGCAGGCGAGATCACATGACCGGCCACCGCCCCGGGCGACGGTCACGTGACCGGCCACCGCCCCGGGCGACGGTCACGTGACTATGTAGTCACCGCCCCGGGCGAGGTCACGTGACCGGCCACCGCCCCGGGCGACGACGTTTGGCTCGCTGCCAGACGTAGCTGGCGGTCACGATAGAAAAAAGAGCGCTATGAACAAACAGAAGCTAGGTATTCGAGTCTGAGCAAGCTTGCACTTGATTATCGATCAGTTTCTCTTCTGTAAGAATAAATTAATTTGGTAAAATCAAGATGATTTATTAACCCGCGCCCCGTAGGGGGGGGGGGGGCCGATACGGCCCCCCCCTGTCCTTTTCGGTCGATATCTCCTAAACGGCTGGAGATATCGCCACCAAACTTTCAGGACCCCTCCGAGCATCAATTTTACACATTGTGACCAAAAATTTTTCCAGAGGCTATGATAGGTTGGCCACAAATGACGTCAGAGTGACGTCATGTTCTGTCATTTTCGACCGAAAAAAGACCTTCGCGAGAAGACCTGTCAGGACTACAGCTTTGAAGATACAGAAAAATGATCAAGACATAAAAGGTGTAGAATTGACAGGGCTACAAAACTGCTATCTCGAATTTTTGAAATTTTTGAGTTTTGACCCCCAAAAATCAAAAAAGCATTTTTTTGGATATATTCGCCAAAAAATCCAAAAAGTTTTTTGAGTTTCGAAAAAACCGGAATATATGTGATAGTGCCTACCGTCTTCTATCTACATACCAAATTTAAGATCGATACCTAGTTTTTTGGCCAAGTTATAGCGAAAAAACTGTTCAAAAATGATGACGTCAAATTTTCAAACTCAATTTTTGGCAATTCTAGAACTCGTAGAGCAAAACGAAGACCACCATTAGACTCCCCGTGACGAGCTGCATCGAATCTATACCCATTTTATGCAAAAATATCAACTTTGAAATTTGACCTAATTTGACCTGACCTTGACCTGACCTTCACAAAAACGTGACCTAGGCTGGCCCCAAAGGCTGCCTAACCCACATAATCGCGTTTTTCATGTTAAATGGACCATAAAACATGTATCACACGACACATTCATATTGTGACCCCCGGTGACCTGACCTCGCTGTGACCTGACCTGGTATCAGTGACCTCAGATAGCAAAGTATGTGTTTGACGAACAATGTACCATCGATGGTTTTCAATAAATTACCAATTTACTCGCTTTCACAGCACATTTCTTGAATTGCCTGTGAACGGTGAAAATCTGACCTTTGACCTGACCTGTGACGTCATCGGTTTGACCTAGGTCAATGAAATTTGGTCACAAGGTAGTTCCCGGGTGGGGCTATCGAACGCCGTTTGAATTTTGAAAATCGGCCGGTAACTTTCCGAGATCTTAGGGGGGGGCCGATACGGCCCCCCCCCCCCCCCCTACGGGTGGTAGGGTCCGCCGGTAGCCCTACGGGGCGCGGGAGGTAGTTGAGGAGCAAAAATGGATAACAGGCAGGTATGATGAGAATTAATGTGTTGAAGTGCAGTACACGGCAGTCGTTATTGCCGATTGTGACAATTGTGGCGGTTATGACGATTGAAATGCGACGTCTTGTCACCGCGACCGTGACGTCACCGCGTGTGACATGACATAGAGAAATTGCCTACTCGTGCACGCAGCACGACTTAGCGTGAAATGGCAGTCGCGACCCGACCTAAAGAGTCGGGCACATCAGAAAAGGACGCAGAAAAGTGTATGGGCTTGGTGTTTTGCTGAAAAAAAAAAATAAGCAAAGCTCTTTTGTAAAAACTGTCTGTGGGTTCGCTTCCATCAATGTGAGATATAGCACAGGACTGAAAATCAAAGTCTTAAACTAGTTTTGACTTACCTAATCCTAGTACACTAATTCCACATAAAAATACTGATTTTATAAACAGTAAGCATGTGGATCTACATTCCACCATCCAAAGCAGCGCATGTTGAAATGTTAACTGCACACTGTAACTGCAGACGTTGAAAGACAGAGCGAAATGTTTAAGTCTATATTATAACTAGATAAATAAGATACCAACTATATACCGAAATAACAAACGCACAGCCAGCAGCAACACAGGTGTTCCAACGTGTTTCAACCACTGAGTCCTATATTTATCCGAAGTTCTATGTTATATAGTGTGGCCGGTACATATGGGCAGCAAGAGGCACTTCTGCACGGCTGTTCCATTGCATTTCTCAAGATGAAAAATTATACAAGCTTGGGAACAGCATACAAACAAACATAACAGCATGTGCCTTAGAAGAAGGCGAGAAAATACGCACCGAATTTAACTATAATAACTCATTTTTCTAGCCGCGCAATTTACTATCAACCTTGACCCTCAGGCCTTCATAGGGAGGAGATGATCCATCAGAGCTACTATGTTGCTGCCCTGGAACTTGTTCAGGTCAGCTGGCCGAATTGGAGCCACCTTTTCAGTTCTAGTATGCCACACCAGTATCTGAAAGATGATGAATAAGTGAGGCATGTGATATGACACTGAGCTGTAAAAGATGTCCACCGGCCATCGTATGTAGTCCTTGCTATTTAAAACTGATGCTGCTTAGAATCTTTACAGTTTGTTGAGAATGGTTAAAGGCGAATGAGATAAGCATGGTGATTTTGGTTTCTCGACAGCCCCATTCCATAACGGCTTATGATTGCTGCAAAGCGTTCGTTTGTCATGTGAGATGTAAGCTGAAATGAATGTTTTCAGCTTCATAATGGGGACATTGCGTGTGACACTGGTCTTTTAATACATGGTTAATAAGCGGAACAGCAAGTTACTCTTTCCTGGAATCATCGTGAATTGTAATATGCCCTGAAGCTCGAAATCCCTGGTCTCATGCATACTTTTTAGGCTGGCAAAGCCTAAAGTACGCACAAGTCAGCGAAACCTCCTAGTTCTGACTGGATAAAATGGAAATAAGCAATATTTGACGTGATCTGCCTTGAAGAGGACAGCAAGGCCATCTATACCACGTTGATAACAGTCGTCTATTTGTATGCCCACTCACATACCCTTGTTTGAGCTTTTGTTATCAGTATCAGTTTGATATCAGTTACCAGAGAGACGTGCGTGAGTAAGTCAATGTCATTATATTAAGCATTACAAGCCTATACAAAGTAGGTAGCCTGTGAGCACTCTTCGCCAGCCTTCAAACATTTTTTGTTAACCTGTGAGCACTCGTAAGTAGCCTGTGAGCACTCCTTACTACCCTGTGAGCATTCTGTACTACCCTGTGAGCACTGCTCACCAACCTGAGAGCACTGCTCAGTGCTCACCAACCTGAGAGCACTTCTCACCAACCTGAGAGCACTCGTCCGCCAGAGGCTGCAGATCCTCCCTGGTCACCCCCAGCTCCTTCAGAAAGCCATCCTCCTCGTACCCAGCTCTGTACGGCATGGCAGCGTTTGGCCGCTGCCGGGTCACGGCAGGTCAGGTTAGGGTAGGCCAGGGCAGGGCAGGGCAGGGAAAGGCAGGGCAGGTCAGATCAGATTTTGTCAGGTCGCTTGTAAGGTCAAGGCAAGGCAGGGCAGGTCACCAATAAATCAGGTAAGCCGCCGTGCAAACGTGGAGCTCACATGGCAAGTGTAAATGGAAAAGAAAAACGGGTAACTAGACGGGCATTTAATTGACAAAAAGGTTAAAGAGCAAAAACTAAGGATGGTTACTATGACCCAAGCATATCAAAGCATGACCGACGTGCATTTCTCCTTTACCTGTCTCGGGCACCATCATGCCTATATTTGAAAATTGAAACCTGCCACGATCCCACCATAACCGTACTTGACCACTTCTTTCTTGACCTCACCCCTAATCTCTCCTCGCCCTCAGACTTCTTCCCGTCTCTCTCACCTGTTTCAGTAGCGTCACACTGACGGCAAACCCGGCCATGTCTATAGGGAACCTCCTGCCCCCGTGCCAGCCGTCGTAGAAGTCGGTGACCTGACCTCCAATCACCACTGGTGAACTGACCCCGAGCTCCGTCACCAGGCCGACCGGGAACACGGACACTCCGCGCGTCTTCTGGATCTGAGGAGAACACCAGGGGATGCTTAGAGAAACGGCTTGGGGGACTGGGCGCTGTGGGGTGTTGAGGTTCACTAAGGGAAATTTGTGTTACCATGCATAAGACAAAGATGTAAATAAAATTGAAACGCGGCGAGCATTGATTAAGTGAGGTGTAGAATTAATCAAACACATTTAAGTGTATCAAAGTTAAGAAATCATCGGACTTAACGGCATTAAATGGGAGTGCAACGTAGGGGGTTGAGACAGTGATTTCAGTTCGGAGACATAGCGAATTAACGGAATTATCGACAAAGAAAAACACTGTGACGAACCAAAACGGATCGTTAAAGTGAAACTACACTGAAAACAATTTAACCCAAGGCTGACGAGTAAACCGGTGTTTTACGGGTACCCCTATCCGCAACCATTTTTAACCACCCTCCCAGGAGTAGTGCTAGGTCCCATTGCGGTATAGTCGTACTTGCTCTGAGCGGATATAACCGCTGTCAGCGAACAAGTCCGCTGAGAGCAGGGACGACTACACTGCAATGGGACCTTACTGTACTCCAGGGAGGGTGGTTAAAAATGGTTGCGGATAGGGGTACCTGCAAAACACCGGTTTACTCGCAGGCCTTGGGTTAAATTGTTTTCAGTGTACGACATAATGCACCGGGTACAGTCGTCAAAATATAAAATAATGTCTACACAGTTATCAGCTCAAATCACACTTATTTTCCTTCAACATAGTACCGACACACATGATGAAACACATGATGCAATCACACTTTATCGTTACCTACCTCCGTGAATATTCTGATGTCGTAGCTGTTGTCGTCATCAGCAAAGTACACCACACCTGCCGTGGCGTGACTTCTCACCCAGGAGAGGCCGGTGTTTCGACTGGCCACTCCGCGGGGTACGCGGCCCCAGAACCGGGGCCGGGGAAGGGCCAATTCCGGCACCTCGGCTGGGCAGGGCGCAGGGAGGGGGGGGGGGGGTGAAATCGCAGCCCTGAGCACATTACTAGCACAATATTGCGGTACACACGTTCAAACTTTTCTACTTCTGCATAATATTATTCTGTTCACAGAAATTTAACTGCACCGATTTAAAGCTCCCTACGATAGGAAAAATACATGTGCCTAAGTAATCAATTATTTCATGTTTTCCACATTCTCACGAAACAATGGGATGCAAATGACTTAGCCTGCACACCATATTGCTTTGCTCTACAATATAAACAAGATGAACACAACTGCAATAGTATTCATCATTACCTGGATAATTATAAATGTTGTGAGAGCAATATGTGTACAATGCACATGGTGAATTAGCTAGCAGCCCGGTCTAATGAGTATTTAATGCGGAAAACTCGTTAAAAGATACCATGGGTGCTTAGCGACATTTGTTCTGTCATTACTTTCGAGGTTAACTTACATGACTTTAAAATAAATTTATTGAGATGGCGAGAATCATAGCTGATAGTTATTAAGTATCTGAGTAAGCCTAAATGGTATCATTTTTCCTGAGGCTACATGAATTTCGAATTTACTGCACCATATGAACGGAGGTTTTAGCAGTTTTGCATCCCGCCTTGAAATTAACCGGCTAACCCTGGTATTGACTATTGTTGACAAATAGGGCCGCATAATTGGTACGAAAATGGAACTTTAAATAATGTGTTTTCTTTGGCCACCAATCGTTTTTCAATTGTTTTTTGGATATTATTTGCAAAAGGTCAATTTTGATATTATTTTTGATAATCACGCTCAAAGAAACGTTTTACCACACCAATTGTGTGTTAGCTCTTTTGCCGACATCACCTGTAATTAAGTGTTGGCATGGAGCCCAGCAGGGTTTCCAGTGGTGTTTACATTCCTAACAATTCTCCATCAGCCTCAATTATGTTAACTCCGAGTAATTGTGACATAAACAAATGTGAAATATGCATGGTCACGGCACCATCCTTTGCGTTACAGCACGTTCAAGCTAATTGTCTTAATCATAATTACGGTCGTAATGTGAGCTGTGCAGCCCCGCTGGTGACAAATGCGACCACAATAGCGCCTGAGAATTGCGTTTGTTGCTCCCGTACACCGGAAATATTCTGTTTGTTGCTCGGACTTATGTTTAAGCAATATGTCAGTAAGCGGTGTACATTGCAGAAACAGAAGGGACACTTGTGCATCGAGTTAATCATCCGTAATGAACTCCCAGTCTAATTTACTGACAGCACTGGCTAAGTGGCAGTTTTGGTAGCGCAAATGTGGGAATTCCTTGAAGCGTTTGCCTCTAATATATGATGGTCGCCTTGTTGTCTGACGTGTTGAACCATTGTCGCCGACATAATCAGTAAGCACGGTTTGCAACGAAGGCCTAACATCAATCAAATGAAGAACGGACACCGAATGGTCCAAAGAAGCTCACGAATAAACTCCCGAACCCAATCACGGGCCCAATAACGGACCACATCACGGGTTCAATCACGAACCCTGATCACGAAACACGTAATCAGCGAGTACCACGAAGCCCCCTGACACCATCGCGCGTCCTGCTTACCTATTAGATGCACATACCGCAGTCCTGACCGTTCCAGCAGCTCTGCCAGCGCCGGGGTCCTCTGCGGCGCGTCCTCCACCACCACCCAGAAGAGGAACGGCGCAGCGTGCATCAGAGTCTGTGACAGCCTCACCAGATCGGCCTCCTGTTCCGGTCGCGGGTAGGTGGCCGTGATGACGTACACCGTGCGGGTCCCGCTCTCGGGATCGGAGGCCTCTCGGCGCGAGCGGTGACTCGCGGAGGAGAGAGGAAGGGAGGACTCCTGAGGATTGTCCAGGAGTTCAGCGGAGGAGCGGGGTGTCGGAGGAGTGTCCTCAGGTGTGTCGTAGAGCATGACGTACACCTTAGTCATCAGTGCGAGGCAGGTGAGTAGCAGTAGCAGCGTCAGACGATCCTGGCGGAGCGGCCGTCCCAGCCGGCTGACAACCTGGTGGACAAACAGTGGGTGACGTTTGGAGGGCAGAAAAGTACTAGAAGGTATGGTTGTAAAAGAATCAGATAACTAAAAACAACTATTTGAAGGAAATTGTAATACAAACAAAAAAGATGGTCATTTTCGGATTTTGTTTTCGACCGAGATCTATGACTCCCTCGAGCACTTACAATTCAGATTACTTATAGTTATACAACAGTTTGATTTGGGCATAACTTCTATCGCTTGACTTGGTTACTGATTCTTTAGCTGACCGCCAAAATGTAGAAACTAAGGTTCCAAATAGAAAGAAGCATTCCAAATAAAAAAGAATCGTTAGTTGTTTCACATGAATGCATTACAATGACAAATTATATCAAGTTCCTCATCAATTTAAGTCTGATTGAAACATAAGAACCGCGGACTGCCAAAGAACAATGACGTAAAACAGTGAAAACAAAATGACGGCAAACACTATAGGAGTGAATCATCCCCGTTTAAATTCATCTGCCTGACATTGCAGTTGTAACTAATCAACCCTCCCCCCCTCCAGTCACACTTACCGACATCTCTGTCGATATTCACCCTCCTGTCCCTCTTCTATCCCCCGGCTCTCTCCCGCGCGTGCCGCCGCTACCTCCGCGCCCGCGCAGCGCACGTGCAACAGTACCGCGGCGCGCGACTGCCGGTGTCGCGACTGCAGGATCCACCGGTACCGGGGGGCGCCGCGGGCCTAAACGTGTGCGCTGTTGCGAATAAAAGGACTCGCCGATATGGTTGACGCGTTACGTTGTGGGTAATAGCCGGTTACTGAAAATGTGTAAGTGGTTTAAATGGTGTTTAAATGGTGATTGGTTTTATGTGTATGCGGCTCTTAAAGGATCGAGGAAGAGAATTATGATGTAGGAGATGGCGCAGTATGATGACCGTCTTGCGTGAAAGATTTGGTGACGAAACAGGATAAAACGGCAAACGTCTTCAGTATTATTCGGAAGTAAGGTAATGTTTTTAGGTTTCATAACAGCTCGATGACCTATGTGCTTGTCTAGTGAGTTATTCGAAATGAGGTTGAGAAAATGAGGTTAAAAATGAACTGATTTTTTTTTTAGTGTATTAGTGTTAATGCGATGTGTGTATCGCATTTCATGAATTGAAAATAACGCTGAAACAGACTTGATTGAGGCTTGTACCGTTGGATGCCCGGTCCAAGTCACTTAAAGGGACCCTCCCACCTTAACATTAGATTTGAGTTGAGATAGCCAAAATGGGGTCCCTGGCTCACAATTACCGGTTTCGGCACTCACAACATCGAGAAATGCCTTAAATCGGAAATATTGAATTTCAAAATTGCAGCATTTTGATTCAGAGGGGCTAATGCTTAGGAATACCCCTCTGAATGTATGACGTCAGCGCAAATATCTAACGATTTTTAAATGTTTGACTAAAACGTTTTGTAGCACGCGGTGGTATATGCTATTTGCGCGCAACATCTGCCGCAAACGCCGCACTTCTAAAATAAAGTCGCTAGAAACAGCGGAGATCCCAAAAAAGTAAACAAAAGTAAAAGTCTAATATCTTGAAAACCGGTGAATATTTTTCGGTGAAATTTGGTAGCTATTCGTTTTCGCTTTTTCTGAACCGAGCGACATCACTTTCATGCCAATTCATAAACTTTTTTGAAGGTGGGAGGGTCCCTTTAACAATATCAAGACGTGCTTTCGTTTTATCCTCTAATGCTCACCCATACAATAATTACATGGGTGTAATTCCAATGATCGCACGTGTATAGTACAATGCAATGCACGTGCTATTTTAAATGGTTACACGCGCATAGTTCGGATGGACGTGCAACCATTCAAACCACCTTAAATTGGTCTACAAACTGAAGACCAAAACTTTGAAGTCAGCGCTCACATAACTAGGTAAAAATGCAACAATCCTACCTCCTAGCAGCCCTTCTCGGATGGCAGTAATTCGAGACTTTCAGTTGTTCTAAGCGACATATATCAAGTGGCACATTCGATACTCGCATATACATATACGAACACGTATATTCATGAACATTATACAATCATGTGCCTTCATAGCGCAGAAATCATGTGAGTTGAATCAATTGCAATGCGCAAATATTCGTTTTTAACACGTTCTTGCATCCATCGCTAGAGTTTGTCAGCACTTGTTAACATCTGAATCAGAAGGTAAGCTGTATTTCCATAGAACGAATATAGGGTGGCATCAATCATCATCGAAGAAATACAAGTGATTCGGGGTTGGATGGAATTTCATCTTCATTTTACATTCGTTTATTTTCCTTGTAGGAATTCAATATTAATTATTTCTCTTTTTTAGTGAGATTGAGTCGTTCACCAGTACCTGCAAAAAAGAAGAAGAAGAATAACATCAAACTCGGAGGTTGTGGAATGAGGCTATCTTTGACATTGCTGTGCTAAATTTACTATACGAATATACAAACGTGCTGTACATTTCTGTACAGTAGAAGATAATCATTTAACCTGTAGGTGTAGCCTCATGTAAAAACCTCAAGTATTTGACTGATCTAGTGCGTACTGCGTAACTGTAAAATCTGGAAATAAAACGAACATCTGGCATCACAACACGACTAAGAAACAGGAAACTAGTTCTGAGGCCAGTTTTACCAACAGAAAAACAGCCACCTGACGGAATTTGTTTGTTAAAGACCACCTCACATATATGGAGCGTAAACGCGATGGGCACGTAAGCGGATAGGGTTTTACCGTTTACGCGCCGTATGTGAAGCGGTCTTTAGGCAAAAAATTCCGGCAGGCGGCTATTTTTCTGTTGGTAAAACTGGCCTCGGATCTTTGCCTTTATTCGCAGGAACATGTGCCTAGCTTTTAATTAATTGTATAACTTTTCAATCCTGTTTTAGGGATTCGGATCATACCGGCTCTTACCGGCGGCTAGAGCGGTAGTAGGGAGAATATCCACCGTAGTAGTTTCTACCACTGTAGTACACATTGCTCCCGTATGGACTGTAGGCGGGAATGTAGCCGCTGCTGCCTGCTGACGTGCTGGAACTTCCACTACCGTAGTAGGTTCCGTAGCCGCTGCCGTAAGGAGAGTAGCCTCCACTACCGTAGTAGGATCCGCCGCTGTTGTAGGGGTAGTAGCTTCCACTACCGTAGTAGGATCCACCGTTACCGTAGGGCGAATAGTTGGTTCCATAGTAGGAAGAGTAGGTCGTGCCGGAGGGGCTGTAGCCGTTGTAATACGGGCTGTAGTTGGTGTAGTAGGGGCTGTAGGAGCCGCCCAAAAGCCCGGAACCGCTGCTACCGTAGTAGGTTCCGTCTTGGCTCAGCGCCAGGGCCGAGGCCGCGCAGAGAAACAGTGCCTGGAAACAGAGGATTCGACCCGGATCACCAAAAAGAGAGCTAAAAGTAAGTGTAAAAAGTAAAACATGAATATTTTAAAAGTAAGAAACGAAAAATGGGACAATAAAAGACGCAAAGAATAAACTGTAAAATATTAAACACAAATAACGATAAATTAAAAAGAAATGAATAAATGAAGTGATTCAAATTATTATCATTACAGCTAGGCAACACAAGTTCATCAAAGCCAAATCCAAATCGGATCACTTACCGCAAGTTTTTGCATGATGACCTCGTGTCAGTGCTCTGGCGAATATGCCCCAAAATGCGGCCGAGCTGGGTCTTTTAAACCGCCCCGACCAATCGCCGGCTTCCTGTCTCGATCACCGACTTCGAATCATCGATACGCTGCTCACACTGCGGTCGCGGCGACACCGCGTGATTCCCGTCATGTTTGCCCTCCGTTATGTGAGCAGATGTTTGCATTCGGCGCCTGAACACCTAATCGACAGCACGGCTGAAGCGGGTTGGACGCTAAGCCACTATCGTAAGGTCAATCAAACAGTGCGTTTGATTGAAATTGAAGGTCCTGCGCTCGTGGCGGGGCCATTTTCCTTTCCACCGCGGAGAGGGGGGGGGGCGTCGCGCCTTCCCTCCCCCCCCCCCCACCCCGTGACGGGACGTGCTATCGAAAGGTCATGTACTTTTGTGTTGATCGTGAGCAAGATAGTGCTACGAAGGAAGCAAATATACGTTAAAGTGTGTATGGGTTTGCCGTTGATCAAGGTGTACGCAAAAGACTAGGCATACCTTTGTGTGAAATGCTTGGCGTCTGAATTATTTGACACAAGAAACCGACTTTATATGTCGCTTGGGCCCATACCTATGCAAGTTCAAAATTCAAAAAGACTTACATACAAAGAACAAAACTTTTTTTTTTTGCTCCGCCAGCCTAAAGCCAGTCTGGAGCCGGGGGTCATTACATCTGGCAATTTTGGCCAGGAACAAAGTTTTACGTTAAGCCGGTTTATGTGAACCCAGAAGCAATAGCAACGTGGGAGCCTATCCTTAGCGTGTATGAGCAAATCTAATGGGGAACTTACTTTTACCGAAGTGCCGAAAAAGCCGGAACAAAAACACAGATGAAGAAACGGTAACATTTATTTACATCACATATTCATACACTTGTTTAAGGTGTCAGTGTACTGGTGTGGGGTGTATTGTCAGGGAAAAAGTCCTAAATAACAAAAAACCTGACGCCTATTGCAAAGGGGAAAACCCCGCGCTGAAGCCAAAGAGCGCAGGGAAAAAACCCCTACAGTTGTTTAATCTAATGTGTAGGAGGTAGAAGGGAAGGGATAATGACGGCCCCGTGCTGGGGAGGGGCGCGCGGCGACCACAGGCGTAAACACCTTGGCCGCCAGTCGGCGTTGGCTCTCAACGACTCCGCCTTAGCGGGTCGGAGAGCGCAATAGGGGGCCGCCAGTTACACATAGTGCAATGCAAGAAACATCAATGGCTAGAGCGCGAGCAAACGATGCAATCAGAAGGAAAATGTAAATAAACGACCGGAATTTAGGTTGCACGTGTAAGGAACTGGGCGCCGCGTTACTATCGTCCCCACGGCGCCCACTCATGCCCGTGAGTGCTCGGGGTTCCGTTTGTATCAGTGAGGTGGTTTTTATATGTTGTTAATAAGACGTGCCTCCTGAAGAAAGGTAAAAAGCAAATCATGTAGCTCTGGATGATCGTCGCCAAGGATAGTTGGCAAATCAAGACTGAGGCCATGTGTGGTAATGTGTCTTATAATGTGTCTCCTGTGGTGCTGTAAGCGTCGGCAGTGGAGTATGAAGTGCTGTATTGTGTATCTTGGATGTGTGAGGCAATAGTGACATATTGGAGGTGGTACATGGTCGTATATATGCGAGTGTGTAAGATACGTGTGTCCTAGCCTCAGTCTGGCCAGCACGGTTTCTTTTTGTCTTGTAGGTTGATTTGAAGAAGAGAAATGGGAAATTGATGGTTTAATCGGATAGAGATGTGGATGTTTGATTGTGTCCCAGTCTCTTTGTCGAAGTTGCATAAAAGAGACGAAAATATGGTTGATAAAATCTATAACTGGAAGCGGAAGATGATTTCGAGACGAGAAGAGAAGTCCAGTTTTGACAAGGTTATCTGCCCGTTCGTTACCTTGGATCCCCGTATGTGCGGGGATCCAGAGGATTCTTACTTCTTTATGTTCTTTCTGTAGAGCAATCAGCTGCTTTTTTATTTTGTATACCAAAGGATGTGTTTCCGTTTTTCTTGTCATCAGAGTTCTAACAGAAGAAGCCGAGTCTGTACATACATACTACTGCTTTCTGAAAATGTTTACTTACAATATATTTAAGAGCCGAACTAATCGCAATCAATTCAGCGCTGAATATGCTGTGGCTGTCGTGAAGTCTGTTTGTTTTTTCATAATTTAGCGAAGTTATAGCTGCGGCAGAGTGTCCGTCTCTCCGCGAGCCATCGGTATAAATACTCGTATATGCGTCTGCCTGATGCTCTGCTTTGTATTTAAAGAACAGCTGTTGTGCTTCCTCTTTTGTAATTTTTGTCTTTTTATCGGTGAATAGGAAATCGATATGCTTGATTTGTTGTAAGAAGAAAGAGGAAAGTGAAGGTGAGGGCATGATGTTCGGATGGGATATTCGAAAGACGTTGAGCACCATTTGAATTCGAAAGGCGATAACCGGGAAGCGCCTTTGAGGAGCAGTCGGCTGCAGAGCTTCAGTGTAACGGTTGTTTAGTATTTTATATGTGTGGTGCGAAGGAAAGGAACACGACCGTGCGAAGAACCGAAGGAGCTGGTATTTCCGGCGCTGTGCAAGTAGAGGCAGATTGAGTTCGATATGGAGACAAATTATGTTTGTGTGGACATCGCGCCCGCAACTATGCGGAGTGCTTTGTTCTGGATTACTTGCAATGACTCAATTTTCTTAGAAGCTATATCATCAAATAGAAAAGCATTATAGTCCAAGATAGGGCGAATTAGGGAAATGTATAGTCTGAGAAGTGTGCTTCAGGTACAAAACTAAGCAAAGCCGACGAAATGAGCACGCAAGTCGTGCGAAAAGTGTGGCCGAACATGAGAGTGGCGAAGTTCCGTTTCAAAGCGGCACAGACGTGTTGCTATGGAACCTCTCAGTCTATCGTTCGCGAAATGGTGTACTTTTGTCATAGGCCAGTACCCACGCAGCATCATATTACCTCTCCGTTCCTTCCTCCCACGAACAATAACACTTGTTCAGAACCTGCAGCCATACATTTCACGTGCTTGGCGTGGTTTCAGTTTCCGTCATTATTGCGGAACGGCCTGGAAGCAATCACCAAGTAATGGCTAATAAGCAGCTGGTAACGAGCAGTGTAATCGGCGGGGTACTTGCAGTATGTCACGGCCCACGCACCTCACATAGGCCGCGGCACACAGTGTTTCGTGGCTATTAGCGGTCAAAAGTCCACCAGCACAAAACGCACGAGGTTTGCAGGAAAGCGGAAGCCATTCTCATGTCAACGATGTGCGATGCTTCGTGATTGCTAACGGTGACTGTAAACGCATCCGTTCACGAACGTGGAATATGTTACAGCGCTTCCCAGCCGAAATCCGGTGCCAAAAAGACGATACCGGAAGAAGATGCTTTGTTCCGTCGTGCAAAACGCTGCAACATGGCATCTAGGGACGAGGAGTGCATGAATGTGAAGCTTCAGGGTACGCTAGGAACTGCGCTTCAATATAGCGTAAGGTATGAGCTATTTCGTTTGACGAGTATTTTCATGCGCTGCTGGATTATGAATATCTCATCAGACAAAATTACCTTTAAACGTACACGCATGAGCACTGAACAGAGGCTGGGGCAGAGGCATAAATGCAGGCAACAGCCTCGTGTACTGAAACAATTTCACACTCATTAGCAGTTAAAAAGAAGATGCATATAATTTTCACATATTGTAACAGTCTGACAACAAAGCGAGATGTATAATGACGTAAAAAACGAATGATGCTATTGAGCATTGACCAGCTAAATCTTCAAGATGTATAGAGTGATATGATAGCGCTGTAGCACCTCAGACGCTTCCAATTATTGACAGCTGTCGAAACAAATGTGACATCATTATTCATTATCATCGTCCATTATCATGTCTCGGCATACCAGCTGTCGAGGCTGTGAGCGGGCAAATGGTGGATGATCGGTTCAGTTGACCTCCGAGAGTCACAGAGTTCTGAGTGTCCCGAGTGGCGGAGTGGCGGAGTGGCGGAGTGTTCAGAGTGTCAGAGTGTTGGGGTGTTCGGAGTGTCACAGCGGGAACAGTGGGAGCACTGGGAGACTTACTTGTTGGGTTAGGGCGCGCGCATAAGCACAGGGAGACGCCGAATCTGCTGGGAGGAGCGCATATATCATGGGATCAGGTCAGTGACAGTCTTGCACTATGCCGTAAATACATTGCTGATAAAGTGTTTTTTTATATTACATTCAGTGTGTGTAGAAAGCTTTAGATTTCATCTGTCACAATTTCACATTAGTATTGCATGTTTCTGTCTGCACTTTTTTTCTCGCTGTTTGGCCCTCTCCCTCTGTCTCTCACTATTCTCTCTCTCCTCTCTCTCTCTCTCTCTCTCTCTCTCTCTCTCTCTCTCTCTCTCTCTTTCTTTTTTCTCCACCACCCACTCACCCATCCGCCCTCATTCCCTCAGAACCGGAGCAGCTGGTCCTACTGGAGCGACGGGGTTCTACCGCCCTCTTGACCCTGAACCGACCCGCCGCCAAAAATGCCCTCTGCGACCGGCTCATGAGCCAGCTGGCCTCGCTGCTGGATGACCTTGAGGCTGACCCCGAGGTCAAGGTCATTGTCATCACCGGACAGAGAGGGGTCTTCGCTGCCGGTAAGGATATTTGCAGGAATCTGTAACCGTAAATAGCAAGACAGTTACAGTTTCTGAGGACAGTGAAAGTACTTATTTAGTAATGAACGCATTGTGAAATTTAATAGAGCCTTCGAGGTTTCTTATGTCTGCGCCATCTCTCTGGAAAAATGGTTGTGCTGCCCAGGGCGTATTTTAAGGGATTTTCACTGGGTCGGCAATCACAATTAGGGGCGGCATTTTGCACTCATAGGGGCGGCACTTGGCATCTGAGGGGGCGGCATACCTACTGATATTTAATGACCAAAAAAGACACGTTCGACGGTTCTTTTATAACTCTTTCTAAGTAATGATTTCTGATTCAACCTAAGCTCAGCGGTATTTCCGGGATATAGTTTTTCTCTCATCATAATGCGATAAATGAAATATAATTTGATTTTGCAAAAAAAAAATTAAAATTTTACCTGAGGTCAAGTTCATGACCTCACCAGAAATAGAACATGTTGCATACCAGTCGATCCGTATCGTCAAGCTTAAAATATTCACGCGTTGTATGGCTATATCTAGAACAGTGTTCGGCAGGTCGCACGAGTGGTGCCCACTTTATGGGCGCTGGACGGGGCCATTACCCCCACTTGTCATACCTCATTGCTTACACAGCAAGGGTCGCTGATATTCGGCCATATCCTTAGACGTCTCTATTTTTCTGCATAGGTGTAAATAAAATGCAACACATTTAAACTCTCTTTTTATGGAGAGGGAGAGCGGGTGGAGTAAGGATGAACTCATACATTTTTTATTTATTAGTTACTCGCGTAATGAACAGCGTATTGCACAGATAAGTTCATCCCTCCCCCCCCCCCCCCAGTTAATGAATGTTATACCTACCTACTCAAACATTTTGGTGACCCCAGTGACATTGTCATTGAGTTTTTGAAATTTGAATGACCTTCACTCGGTAACTTTCTCTCCGGCTCGGCCGGCGGACAAAACGCAAGCGGAGACAATGCGGGGAGTCCGGTGCTCTACCAACTGAGCTACGGAACAGGCAAATGCTCACCATAGATATACCGACTGAACGATCCCTTTATAACTTCAGCGATTGATAAGACAAACAGTGTGTCACTGTAAGTACATAAAATGTAAGTCTCGAAATTGCGATGTCTGACCAAAGGTAAGGACAATTTTGCGACCCTTCCATTAGGTACACTGAAAACAAAATGACACAAAAAACGACTAAAAACGCACAGGCAGAGCGTGTTAACTAGGCTTTCTTGTGTACCCTGCATCATTCATTTTTTGACCCGTCGCAGACGTGTCAATTTACAAATGTGTTAACCCAGTCGTGTTGTGTCCTAAAACACAATATCATTGTGTCTTCAACACATAAGGCTTGTGTGAATACATTTGCAGAATACAAGGTAAATATGTTACTAAATTAAACCCAAATCGCAAGTGAAAGAAGGAAACACGTGGTGATAATGTAGTTTGTTGCCGGGGCACAGTTCAAGGGACTATGGCTTTGGCTGGACAGGCTGACTGCCAAAGCCGGGCCCCGAGTGGAATCGGGCGCTCGGGTGCGATCAGGGCTGAGTACCCGGCCGGCCGACCCATACGGTCAGGGCGCGGTCAGGGCTGAGCACGCGGGCGGCCGACCCATACGAGGCCGCCGACCCATACACGAGATGGAGTTGCGCCCGGACGACCACTTCAGGGCCGAAGGGTGAACGCGTCACGTGGACGGCTCAAAAAGAGCACCAAGTGACGAACCCCAAACTGGAGGACTGCTGTTCAATACAGTTGTCCAGAAAGCCGGGATAAACTTACAGCCACCTATTTTTCAAATCTATATTACTATTTGTGGTGACGTAGTTTCTGTCTATTACGAAGGTCGCGACATGGTGCTACGTAGCGCGGGTTACAGGTCACACCGTTGCACCTACCGCACTGAAGTTTGCGCAACTCATAGAACAAGGATGGACAACGTGCCTTTGATGGGTCTCAGCTCGATCGGATCGATAGCGAGCGCGTGGCGCGTGCCCAAAAAGTGCAAATTCGCGTCATAGACTCTACATGTATTAACCCGCGCCCTGGTGGGGTCTGTTTATAACGCGACCTGGTGGGGGGGGGCTATTTTTTGCCCCCCCTCGTATCTCCGAAACTACTGGACGGATCCGCAAAATTCAAACGGCGTTCGAAAGGCCTGTCAAATTTGTCGAAGGAAACCAAATTTCATTGACCTCGGGGTCACCGATGACGTCACAGGTCAGGTCAAAGATGAAATGTTTCACCGTTCACGGGTGTTCTAGGGAATGCGCTATAACACCGAGGAAAACGCATTTTGTCGAGAATCAGCGGTAGGGCGTCAGTTGCCTAGTAGATATGTTGCTATTAGAGGTCACTGGCAATACCAGGTCAGGTCACAGGTCAGGTCACCAAGGGTCACAGGTCAGGTCACATGAGCCCAACTTTACTAAGGTTGTGTGATACATGTTTTATGGCCAATTTTTCATTTCCAACTCAATGGTGTTGGTTATAAGACTATCAGGTACGGCTTAGGTCACTTTCTGGTGAAGTTCAGGTCAAGGTCAGGTCAAGGTCAGGCCAAAAAAGGTCAAATTTTAAAGTTGATAGTTTTGCATAAAATGGGTATTGATTCGATGCAGCTCGTCACGGGGAATCTAATGGTGGTCTTTGTTTTGCGCTACGGGGTCTAGAATTGCTGAAAATTGAGTTTGAAAATTTGACGTCATCAATTTTGAACAGTTTTTTCGCTATAACTTCGCCAAAAAAAGAGGTATCAATCTCAAATTTGGTATGTGGATGGAAGGCGGTAAGGACTATCACATATATTCCGGTTTTTGCGAAATTCAAAAAACTTTTTTGATTTTTCGATCATTATATCCAAAAAATCTATTTTTTGATTTTTGGGGGTCAAAATCCAAAAATTGCAAAAATCCGAGATAGCAGTTTTGTAGCCCTGTCCAATATACAGCTTTTATGTCTTTATCATTTTTCTGTATTTGCAAAGCTATAGGCCTGACAGCTCTTCCCGCGAAACCCTTTTTTGGGTCGAAAACGGCAGAACATGAGGTCACTCTGACGTCATTTCCGGCCAACCTATCATAGCCTTTGGAAAAATTTTTGGTCACAATGTGTAAAATTGATGTCCGGGAGGGTACTGAAAGTTTGGTGACGATCGGCGCAGCGGTTCTGGAGATATATCGAAAAGTCTGGAGGGGGGGGGCAAAAAATAGCCCCCCCCACCAGGTCGCGGGTTAATCGGCTGGCAAAAACGGGCGAAAACAGCCAAATTTGCCCGACACGGGTCCGGTCCCGGTGCAATATCTCGGTAACCGTGGGCCCAACCGGTACGGGGAAAACAGCATCGTGTAGAGAATCGAACGGGCTATCGAATGGTGTGCGGTGCAGGGGTTGGCACGCGCCACGTGCACCGGGGAGGACACTTTATTTTGAAAAATGGACGTTTTGGACGGATTTTGGAATTTACATTAATTTCAGGTGATCGTCAGACGGAATGAGTTGAAACAGCGCCTATTAGCAATAAAAATGTACCGTCTCTCTTGGAAAAATTGTGAAAAGCTAATTGATCAAAAACAATGTGGAAAAAATCGCTGAATTAAATGGTATTTGTCCAAAATGTGCCACTAAATAATTACACGGATTTTGCTGCTTAACCTGATACGTTTGACAATTGAAAATGCCATCATTGGAAAGAGCATTCAATTCTCTCCAAGATCCAATCATCACGTTTGCATGACAAGCAACAGTATTCTTAAAAATATAAATGTTTCAAACCTCTGCAAAACGATTTTTAGTGAAAATTATCTACGCCTTTAATTTGTCATAAAACTACGCGCCTAAATTATAAAGCACATTTGACAGATTCTGAAGTGGAAAGCATGCTTATCAGACACGGGCACCTCGATGCGGTGGATATTTTTTCCACAAACCAAAACGTTTAGCCGTCAAAAAGCAATCGACCGAAATGGATAGATAACCCAACCGACACAAGAACAACCAAACACTCACCGATCGAAAATACCCCTTTCGCGTTGCGGAGCACGCGGGTCACCCTAGTATATCCTATATAGACGGAGGAGTTTCTTCCTCCAAGCAGACGTTAATTAGCTATGCTTCAGCTTGCACTTGATGTAATCAGCGCATATTGCTCTAGACAATTTATCATGTATCGACTCCCTCGGCTGTATTGTGCATTTTGACCTTTCTCAAAACACTTTGGCAAATTTTTACAAAAACCCAGCATAAAAGTCGGTGCTCGAAAAACGCCCTCTCTTATCCCCATTTGAAGTTAAGGTTCAGAGGTCACTCACTGGTGGATGGCACGGTGTATTTGTGCAAGGGTACACGTCTACCATATCCAACAACACATGATTTCGATACACTGATGCATTACATTCGTCCAGCGTGCTTGGCACGATAAAATTGTGTCATTATTCTGTTTTATGTGTTATCAAACGTGTCGGAGGTCCCGCCAAGCGTGAAAATACTCAGCCTTATTGTGTTTTGGGTGCGATTAACACATGACTGATGTGTTACCAGTACAGAACATGCCCTCACTGTGTCGATTTGTTTTCAGTGTATGAGGAAATGGGAGAAAGTCGGGGCATGTGCCTCTTTTTATAGGTAGACAAATGTCAAAGTTAACGAATTCAAACATCAGAAAACAATTAAAAATGACACACTTAATCGGAAAAATGCCACCCACGACCCCTCGTTATGTCCTTGAGGTCATGTCAGGTCATGGATTGGTAGGCCTCCAGCAGGTTTTTTCAATAACTTCTGATAGAGACATGCGATATGCCTGAGCGATGAAAACACCTTAGATGATTTCAGTTTGACGATACAAATCAACTGATATGCAACATGACCTTTACCAGTCAGGTCATGACCTGGACCTGAGCTCAAATTTCCCAAATGACATTTGAATGTCAAATTATAGTTCATTCGACGCATCTCGACGAGAGGAGCGCAGTACTGAAAAAAAAACGATGTCATAACTTTCGTGAGTCAATAATTATTTAAGTAAAAAGGTTCTTCATTAAAACAGCTCAGTAGAGGAGCGGAGGGGGCCCACTGTCCCCTTTAACCCTCTCCGGCCCGACACGGGTTAAACAAGTTGTGCTCTGGAGGTTAAGTCGTTGATGTTAGGTCAAGTCTGAGGACTTTATAGGAACGTTGAAGAGCTATCGAATGCGCTTTTTCGCGGTGCTGTAGTTCTATTCTTCCCCGAGTTATGCGCCAGTTTGTCAATAAATGTTTAAACAGACAACGTTTCACCCACATTTCACCATTGATGACCTCTGGTCGCCTGCTATTTGACATTTGACTTGACCTAACCAAAGTACGGTTAACCAACTAACCCAAGTAGTTTTGACACTCCTTCGAATACCGCTTACAGCGTGTCGCTACGTGGCCCAAGTAGCCAAGTTATAGGGGTCGGGAGGGGGGTTCAAACAACCTCAGCCCGGCGCCGGTTAAGGGAAGGCACTATCATTTTGGGGGCGCTGCAGATATGCTAAGGGACGACAGCATCATTTTGAGGCGCGCCACCAATTTTTTTTAGGGCACTTAAACCACTTTGAGGGACACCACCGACACTGTGAGGAGCGCAATTATCTCTTTGAGCGTTGAGGGGTGGCACCATTACATTGAAGGGCGCCATGTGAGCAGTTGACAATGAGGAGCGCCTCCGATACTTAACCCGCGCCCCGTAGGGGGGGGGCGAAACGGCCCCCCCCTCTCCTTTTCGGTCGATATCTCCTAAACGGCTGGAGATATCGCCACCAAACTTTCAGGACCCCTCCGGGCATCAATTTTACACATTGTGACCAAAAATTTTTCCAGAGGCTATGATAGGTTGGCCACAAATGACGTCAGAGTGACGTCATGTTCTGTCATTTTCGACCGAAAAAAGACCTTCGCGAGAAGACCTGTCAGGACTACAGCTTTGAAGATACAGAAAAATGATCACAACATAAAAGGTGTAGAATTGACAGGGCTACAAAACTGCTATCTCGAATTTTTGAAATTTTTGAGTTTTGACCCCCAAAAATCAAAAAAGCATTTTTTTGGATATATTCGCCAAAAAATCCAAAAAGTTTTTTGAGTTTCGAAAAAAACCGGAATATATGTGATAGTGCCTACCGTCTTCTATCTACATACCAAATTTCAGATCGATACCTCGTTTTTTGGCCAAGTTATAGCGAAAAAACTGTTCAAAAATGATGACGTCAAATTTTCAAACTCAATTTTTGGCAATTCTAGAACTCGTAGAGCAAAACGAAGACCACCATTAGACTCCCCGTGACGAGCTGCATCGAATCGAAACCCATTTTATGCAAAAATATCAACTTTGAAATTTGACCTAATTTGACCTGACCTTGACCTGACCTTCACAAAAAAGTGACCTAGGCTGGCCCCAAAGGCTGCCTAACCCACATAATCGCATTTGTCATGTAAAATGGACCATAAAACATGTATCACACGACACATTCATATTGTGACCCCCGGTGACCTGACCTCGCTGTGACCTGACCTGGTATCAGTGACCTCAGATAGCAAAGTATGTGTTTGACGAACAATGTACCATCGATGGTTTTCAATAAATTACCAATTTACTCGCTTTCACAGCACATTTCTTGAATTGCCTGTGAACGGTGAAAATCTGACCTTTGACCTGACCTGTGACGTCATCGGTTTGACCTAGGTCACTGAAATTTGGTCACAAGGTAGTTCCCGGGTGGGGCTATCGAACGCCGTTTGAATTTTGAAAATCAGCCGGTAACTTTCCGAGATCTTAGGGGGGGGCCGATACGGCCCCCCCCCCCCCCTTACGGGTGGTAGGGTCCGCCGGTAGCCCTACGGGGCGCGGGTTAAAGAAGAGACGCCAACATTACTCGGAGGGGGGGGGGGCAACATCACTTTTATTTTGAGGACGCCACCCACATTGTAAGGGGCGGCACTGTAACTTTAAGGAACGCCGCGGATACTTTAAGGGGCGGCTTCATCATATGGAGGGGCGCTACAGATGGTTAATGGGTGGCAATAGGTATAATATTTAGGGACTCCGATACTTCGAAGGGCGCCACCGTTTGTTTGAGGGTGACATCATCACTTTGAGGGGCACCACCGGGCACCGATACTGTTCGGGGCGCCACCGACACTATAAGGGGCGCCACCGACACTGCCAGGAGCACTTTGACCGGCGTTACTATCACATTTAAGGGCGCCATGAGCACATTGGGGGGCGGCACCATGACGTGGAGGGGCGTTACGGAAGGTTTGAGGGGCGGCAGCATCATTGAGGAGCGCCTCCGACACTTCGAGGGACACCAGCATTTCTTTGAGAGGCGGTACCTTGACTTTTGAGGAGAAACCACCGACACTGTAAGGGGCGGCACCATCACTTTGAGGGGCGCCACGGATGGTTTGAGAAGCGGCACCATTATGTATATGGAGGGGCGCTACAGAAAGTTAGAGGGCGGCAACATTGTATTGATGACTGATGAGTTCCTCCAAAACTTTGAAGGGCGCCACTAACACTTTAAGGGGCGGCACCAGCACTCTTAGGGGCGGCAGCATCATTTTGAGGGGCGCCACCGACTCGTTGACAGAGACACCATCACATTAAGGGGCGCCACTGGCACTTTGAGGGAGGCACCATCACATTGAGGGGCGCCACCGATACTGAAAGGGGCGGCATCATCTTCTTGAGGGGCGGCATCATCTGCTTGAGGGGCAGCTCCATCACAATGAGGGGCTATGTGGATACCTAGAGGGGCGGCACCATTACATTGGTGGGTTCCTCTGACACTTCTAAGAGCGTCACTGACACTATAAGGGGCGGCACTAACACTTAAGGGGCGGCAGCATCATTTTAAGGGGCGCCAGCGACTCGTTGGCGGGCAGCACCATCACATTCAGGGGCGCCACCGGCACTTTGAGGGCGGCACCATCACATTGAGGGGCGCCACCGATACTGAAAGGGGCGACATCATCTTCTTGAGGGGCGGTATCATCACATTGAGGGGCTCCACAGATGCTTAGAAGGGCGGCACCATTACATTGAGTGGGGCTACTAACAGATTTAGGGGCGGCACTGTCACATTGAGTTGCGCAATGATCACTTTCTATAGACGGCTGGTTCACTTTAAGAGGCGGCATTATCATTTTGGAGGGCAGCAGCCTCACTATGAATGACGGCACCTAGCCTGCATGTGCGTGCTGCATCCTGGAGGGGGCGGCAACTGGGTCGGCAAACGGCTGTCACTGGGTCGGCATTCTCCGTGACTGGGTCGGCAATTGCCGACCCAGTTAACATGTTAAAATACGCCCTGGTGCTGCCTTGAAGCTAAGAATACCTATTTTAGCTTTAAAAGTTGATTTGATATCCTTAGGTTGTACGTTGTTCTAGAACTAATGCAATTCTCATAAACCCCAACTGCTTTTATGCCTGTGTGATCATTATCTTATCGTTTTTCCTTCGTGTTGTCCTCTTCGTGCTGTGCCCATAGGCGCGGGAGCCGGGGGGCAGTGGGGGCAGTTTGCCCCCCCCCCCCCCAACTCTGGGGCCGTGGGGGCGATGCCCCCACAGCTTTGAGACGGAATACCACACTTTTTTGGCAAATGTTTTCTTTTTTGTTGAAAAAGCCAAGGGATGAAAAATAAGTGGCCTAAAACCGGTGAGAAAACTAGATTTGGGGGTACCCTAGGTTGATCTCTATTATGTGTAAAAATGCAAGTGTCAGCAAGGCCGTTCCGTCGCTCATTACGTTGTAAAAAACACTTTAACTCCCTACGTTACACTTTAACGTTTAACTTTTAACACTTTAATAATAATAACTTTTAACGCTTTAATAACACTTAAACTTTTTTTACAACGTAATGAGCGACGGAACGGCCTTGCTGACACTTGCATTTTTACACATCTGTCAAATAACTATATTAAAAAAAAGATCTCTATTATGGTGTGCCCCCCAGTCTGAACGTAGTTCCCGCGCCCCTGGCTGTGCCTGCCATAGGAGCTGACGTGAAGGAGATGCTGCCTCGCCGGTTCCCCGCAGTGCTACATGAGGAGTTTCTGAAGGACTGGAGTCGGCTGAATCGCTGTCAGAAACCCACCCTAGCCGCCGTCAGCGGATACGCCGTGAGTTGAGATAGAGTGTGAGTGAGTTTAGAGAGTGAGCCGGGAAATAAACGAGCTTAGCGCGAGTATAAGCTGAGCGAGTGGGTGAGTTGGATAAGAGACAAGAGTGTGAGTTGAGTAAGAGGAAGAGATAAGCATGAGAGTATGTTCCGTAAGAGACAGCAAGTGTGAGTTTAGCAGGAGTGTGAGGTGGAAAGAGTTTGTGCGCTGGGAAAAGTTTATTGATTAAGATCGCCCGACTAATGTGACTACCTAAAACTGAATTGAACAGACAGGATGTAGTCGTCCCTACCAGTCGCAGACAACCCTCGTCAAGAATCTCAAATATCGAGGTTCTGGCACATAATGAGATCGGGCTGCTCACATTGCCTGTGATTCCCCGCTCTGCAATACTCCGATACTCTACCCGTGCCTCTGCATTAACAATTGCTTTACGGTGAAGACTAACTAGTTTGTAAAAACATACTTCCTTGTCATAAGCATGTGAAGATGACGAGGCATTGGTGTCAAAACGATACCTAATTGTTTTTATCTATTGCGGTGCATACTACTCCAAGTCAGTGAGAAAACGTATTTCTTACATGGCGTAATAGCTACTTGCTAAATTATTCTTAAATGTCAATTAGGAAGCCATGGATGACAAATAATAATTACAATAAATGTGGGATGGCATGATAATGTAATTTCTCATAATGGTACTTATCATTTACCAGCAAAGTAGTCCAAAGTTCAACAGTGACAAAAAGTAGAATGCACTAAAAGCAAATACTAATTGCTAAGAGCAGCTAGTAATTGCTTTTACACCATTTAAAATAACAAGCTCTAAATATGGCTTGGTCGGCAAGGACGTGAGATTGGGGTTTGGAGGAACCGGATTCAATCTTCGGTTCTGTGTGTTATGGAAGTGTCCCACACCGGCAGGAGAAACGTGGACTCTCGCGATTGTGATAGATTGCCTTTAAAGAGAAGAAAAAGACCTTTGGAATCGGGCACACATTTTCTTATTAGAGGGAAGAACGAATAAGCTATAAATAAATGCAAGTACACTGAGCGTTAGCCTTGCCGTTGCCTAATGGGAGTCCCAATTGGAACATACCCTTCCAGCGGCAAACCTTAGACTCTGGCTGACGAATAAAGCACATCATGCGGTTTGCGGGCCACAAAATGCACGCTGATTGCACGGAAGTCAGCTTCCGTGGTCCCGGCAGCATGCGGGGATAATCAGCTCATATTTACATCGTTTTACCGCTTAGCAGAGACACTGTGGGCGACATTGCCGACTAAAACGGTCTAATTTCGGCCATTTGTACGTAATGACAGCGTTCGGACGCGGCTGGGCCTGACAGAAGGGTAGCGTTGATAAACAATGTCACCGTTTATGAACAGGCCCACCTGCAGTTGTGGTGGGGAGACGCTACAGTAGGGAATGAGAAGGCGTTTCACTGCTGTTTAGGTGTTTAGTTTGTGGGCTGTTTTATCCAGGTAAGCATGCGGAAATGGTGTTGGCCTGGAATCATTTGAATAATTCCAGAGTGAGCGCTAATTGCAGGATTGCATTTAGAAACGCTAAGTGTGTGGTGCCGCTATGCCTCTCTTGCCGTTGTTCTTGCTCTTCCTCTTTACCATTGTTGCGTAAGGTGATCCTATTTAGAAATCTAAGGTGCAGTGTACTTCATTGTAATTTGTAATGTATCTCTCTCCCTCCCTCTCTCTCTCTCTCTCTCTCTCTCTCTCTCTCTCTCTCTCTCTCTCTCTCCATACACACCCACAGCTGGGCGGGGGCTGCGAGCTGGCTATGATGTGTGACGTCATATATGCCGACGAAGCTGCCATATTTGGTCAGCCAGAGCTGCTGCTGGGAACCATGCCGGGCGCTGGTAAGAACCCTCAACTGGAAGGCGCTTAGTTGACTGTTTTCTGGGAGCAGTCGTTGCAGCTTTGGTGAATTCATGGTCCAGTTGCTAGCTAAATGATGACGAAGTGTTGAAAGAGGAGAGCGAGATCTAGGAAAGCATTTGTCACTTTATTTGGGAACCATGTTCATATGGCTAAACAAATAAGGACCATGCATTAGGTAGCGCACTTCAGTGAAGTTGGCCTTATACGCATGACTACGCTGACGTAAAAATGATTCAGGGAAATATGTGTAAATAATTATTCTTGATGTCGCATGTTTTTTTTTGTTGACTAGCCTAGGCCGAAACTCGTTGTACAATGCTTATACCAAATATCACCTTTCATGATCATTCACAGCAGTTGTCAAATACGAGCAGAGATCTCGGGTTGTAGCCCATACCATCGCTCCCTTGTTTCTTGCAGGGGGGACCCAGAGACTTTGCCGAGCGGTGGGTAAAGCTGTCACCATGGAAATGTGCCTCGCTGGAAGAAAACTCACCGCAACAGAAGCCCTGCAGGCAGGTCCGTACCCTTAGGTCATAACGCTTGCGGATTGTACAGTAATTATTAAAACGTGTAATACGATAACTGCTGCTACTTTGCGAGCCGTAGTGTAGTGTCATTGTATTTACCTATACCATTTAACGATGATAAGATAGCTAAGTCGGTAAAGTCGTCAATTGGGGCCGGTTTTAAAACCCTGATTAGATTGGTTTGGATGGTGACACGTCTTAATAATGTAAATATTTGCGTTAATGGTTGATGTTTGATTGATCTGGAATATTCAACAAACAGCGTACTACTATCAAACACAGTGTTAGCGCCTAGCGGTATGCGCATTTACCCCAATGCAATCGCACGCTATCGCTCATGATCATCCTCAACATAAGGCAGCGTCAACGTCCTGTGTTTACTGTTTAAGCGGCGTAAGGCCGTATCGATTTGACGCGGCATTTGTCGCCACCAGGCCTGATAAGCCGTGTGGTTCCCGCCGAAATTCTGTTAGAAGAGGCCCTGAAGACGGCGGAGAAAATCGCTCAGCTCTCATCCACTGCTGTTATACTCTGTAAACGGGCGGTGAATGCAGGTAGGACGCTTGGCATCTTATAATACTTAACTTTACAACTGTGCCAAAGATGAGCTACAATTTCACTCAACATTCTGGGGGCTAGATAGGTATGTGCAGGTGCTAGGCATTAAATACCTAAAAAGTGAAAACCATTTTGTTAATTGTTTCTGAAATCACTTCCAGTGACCAATGTTTGCAGTTGTTGATTTAAAAACATCCCTGTAAGTGTAAATGAAGATTCATCGGCGAATTTCAATTTTTCTGTTCCAGCCCACGAGATGTCTCTTTCTGCCGGGCTTCAATACGAACGAGACCTCTTCTACAGCACTTTCGCAACCGAAGATCGAAAGACTGGAATGGATGCCTTTGTTCACAAGAAAAACCCGACTTTCTCGGGAAAATGATACTCGATATTTAGATCATGTGCGTAGTGCTCATTGCTGCTATGTTGAGTTCAATATGTGTGCAATTTTGTTACGTCTTTCCGGAAAAAAATAAATATTTATCACGTATTACTGAGCATGCTCTCATACTTTTAAGCCTAACAAGAGCAATAACCTACACCCTCTTTACAGCAAAACAAAAGATCAATTATTGTGCTCATATCTTCATCGAAAGAACCGTAATGTGGCCCTTTCTAGAGCAAACGTAATTGTGAATGAGTGCCAATTGGCTAACAGGCAAAAAATTATTGCACAATATTTGTGGCATGTATTTTACAACTGACAACACTGTGCAAGAAGTGTACATATGATGCATATTGCATCCCAAAGATAACGTTCGCCTCTAGGACCCTAGTCTAAGCCACGCGTTTACACATTGCAAAAATCGCATAGCCTCGCGTCTTAGCAAGACGATGAACCCTAACGCCAAGGTTAAACTATAAATTTTGTCTATTTTAATTGGATTGGAATCAGTAATCACTATTATACTCTAAAGTTCAACACAACACATAGCATAGCACCCTATAGTAAGTACCTGTGCCTTTAATTAATACGACGCAACTTGTTGATTAATGGCCTCACAGCGATGAGCTTCACATTTATCAAACCAGCAACATTGTCTCTTGATTCCTTCACAGAAGTCAGCACATATATCGTCATATATTCAAACCATTTCCACCCTACACATCGCACAAACCACACATCAAAGGCTCAACCCTTCCTCAGCCATCCGGTCATATATCCACTGTGTAAAATGACGCACATCGGCATAAACACCGGGCAAGCCGGGGGTGCCACAGCCAATACCCCACGAGACTATCCCAGCCTGCACGTATCTGCCCGGCTGGAGGGGGTCCTCACATGCCAGTGCTGAACCTCCATCCCCAGTACACGCGTCTCTACCTGCCCTACCGCCGGCGCACATAAACGACTCGTGCAAAAAGAACCCGTCGCCCAGTCGCGTGCGGCGCAGGGCGGCCTCGCACCTATAGTCGTCCACGACGGGAAGAGAGATGGATTTCAGCACCGTCTGGATGCCACCGGAACGGAACGCACTGCGACCCCAGCCAGTGACGACGCAGTCTTGCGGGGAAAAGTCCGCGTCGGGTAGACAGATGGTATCAATGTGCGCCTGCAGGTGCACAGGCACTGCAAACAGAACGACGGGGGTGCGGGTATTTGAACGGTGATGAATGAGTGTTTTAAACGCAGTGGATGGGTAGGTAATGAGTCCATTTGCGGTTATTTTATGCCTGTTTCGTCACGAAGTACAGACTGCATACCGGTAAGGTTTATTGCGAAATTAGCTTTAGCAAACAAGTATTAACGGTTAAGTTACAACAGTGACATGCTATGTAGTTGTCGCTAACTCTGTGCAATTCCTATAGGTCTATACGGTCCACTCGCTACGATGGCTACTTTGTAAGCTGTTTTTCTACAATATACATAGTGCTTCCTAATGGCACCTAATCAGGCTAATCTTAACATATATTGGCATGCTTTCATTCATTTTAACCCATTATGAAAGCCCTAAAAACGTGCCATATCTTTGACAAGACATGCAGCGAGCTCGAAACTCCCCAGAAGCCAGGTAAGCTACGTCTGACCTATCGATACAACAAAGCTACCTCCCCGACTACTACCCAACCCCCCCTCTCGCGCGTACCTTCCAAGAAGAGGAGCGCTATGTCGTTCTGCAGGTTCCCGCCGCTGTACTCGGCGTGTCGTACCACCTTCCTCACTGGCACGTTGAGGTGGGTGTTGATTTCGGTGGTGTGCTGACTGTCCCACTCCCCTAGCCGCACCTCGAGGTCACGGTACTTGCGGGCCGTGTGGGCAGCCGTCAGCACCACCTGGTGGACGAAATAGGAACTATCTAATACGCCGCGTTACAAAGAACAATACAAGTTGAAATTTAGAAGACACACCAATACAGCATTGTGGAAATGTTTACCAAAGTATTAGGGAATTCAGTAACACCTCTGTCTTAGCGAAGTGGGAAAATACGGCCCGTCAAAAACGTTACCTCGAATAGGTATATGGTGAGTTCGCGACAATTCCTCAATGACTGAATTTCGGAAACCAAGACAGCTTTGAGCTTGCAAAATAAATCGGATATCAGTCCATGTCACTGAAGCATTGGAAAACTAATTTATATAGTCACCGTGGGAAAACTACCATCACTTATCCGATGTATCTGGTACACAATTGAAAATATTCCTCAACCTACCTGCGGGTGAATGAGGGAGCCACCTCCGAGGAACAGATACTCGCCGGTGTTCCTGCCGGGCCTCAGGATAGCCGCCTGCCACGGGTACTCGCCCGGCTGGCTCTCACCCTCCTGGTGGTCAGATAGGTAGTTAATAGCGGTCAGATACAGTAGCGGTTAGATACAGTGACGGTCAGATACAGTGGTCAGATAAATCTGGTGAACTGCGGTCAGATACTGTAATGGTTAGACACAAATACAGCAAACATGGTGCCGATGATCAGATATGCTAAACGTAAACAGCGGTCAGATACAGTGACGTGACGATCAGATACAGTAGCGGCCATATTTCACAAGTCTTAGACGGAAGCGCCCTTGATGAGCTAGTGGTCAGATACAATCACCAGAAAAAAGTTGCAAAAGCAAACAGGTTGAATGGCTGCCAGGTACCATGGCCGATCAGTGATCACAACCAGATACATGATATGAGGAAACAGGTCAGATACAACGGTGCACCTCCAGCAGTTCAGAATGCTGTTCGTTCGATTCCCCTCATTGAATTCGTGCTAATTTTAATCTGAATTTGTTTGGACAGTGAATGAGACTGAATAACTCCGGTTTGATGCGTACGATAGGTAGACTGTGCCGCAATACAGTCAGGCATTGCGGTACAGCCTATGCTTCACTCATGATTCTGGAGGAGGTGCGAGAGAAGAACGGTGTGTGCTTTTTCTTGTTTTTTTTTATGTGGTTTTACTGGTAGGAACTCAAGCTGAAAGCCTCTTTCTTTGTTTATCTGCTTAACGTCGGGCATAATTGGGGCATAAAGCATCTAACCATTGCCGAGCGTTATGCCTCTTTTGCGGTCATTTTCAGCAATCATACATACTCAAGTATCTCATTACATGCCATTGGTGCCATCTCACCTTGAATCCAATGATGCGCACCCCCAGCCCGCCTTCGTTTCTCCGCCCACACCGGGGCAGGTAGGTGGGATTCTCCTGCAGGTCATCGCTACGCTTCACGTGCGGTCTCGTGCAGCAGACGTCCAGAAAGTCGGTGCAGTCGGCGTGCGTTCTCGTCGGAGAATGCTTGGCGTTCTCGGTGAGCTCCCCGCCGAACCTGCGTGCAGGATGCGGGTGTTATTGTCGGAGTTTCTTCTTTTTGTGATAAGGGACATGCCATGAGGTATAATCGTGGGAAGTCAGTCACTATTCACCTTTCAGTAGTATAATTTGCGGTGGTCTAATAAAAAGAGGACGAGCCCACTTCGTGTAGGTACCCATTATTCATAAAAAGCCGATCAACTGTCATCAGGAATGGACATCGCTACTTTGGCCGAGCTCATGTTGCATTAGACTCAGTCTCAGATCATCTCATTTCGCTCTCACATCAAACATCTCTGGGCTGGACGTAACCTAATCCCCCCTCACCGCACCAAACACCGCCCCCCCCCCCCCCTCCACCTCTCATGGTCTACCAGTACCCACCTGATATCGAGTGCACCGACTCCGTCTGTGATAATATCGTCCGAGTCGCAGTGGTAATACGGCACGCACTCAAACTCCCCCCGCTGGCAGAACTGTCTGGCTGCCCCCGTCTGGTTGGCTATCACCTCAGCAGCGTCCACCTGACGGGGCAGCCGCAGTGCCGACGCCAGCGACATCTTTACCAGCAGCAGTAGCGCCACCAGCGGCCGGACGCGGAGTGACATGGTCAACCTGCGGGAGGGCGAGAGGAGACCGGTCAGTGATGTGGCACGAAGTGCATGCATTGCAATTTGCAATGATGCATTCTTATTTGTCAAAAGCGGTCACCTCACAAAAGTGAAGTGACCGGTTGTAGATAGGTGATTCAGGAACTAGTTATTAATGTAATAATCACTTAAAATCTAACATCAAATTCAAGTCAAAGTGAAGACGTTCTAGGCATTCATATTGACGCGTTATCAACTTTACCCCAATATTGATGAAATAACAGCTACACCAAAAAATATGATGCTATTCCACCACACCCATTCCGTCCATTCCGTTTCATTGCTTCCAATTTCCATCCTCAGCATACTCCAATCCTCGTCCTCCACGCCTCAACCCCCTGATCCAGGCTGGACAGTCACCTTTATCCCACATAGGTAGGTAGGTATGTGTATTGGGTAGCTCCTCCCCGGCCACCTGGGCTCAATCTTATTAACGCCGTGGAATGGATATGGCAGCACTGGCTGAAGTTAAGCTGCAGAACACGGCTGCAGGATGGTTTTCACGCTTTTCAGTCCATCGTATGTGACAGTCCAAAGCATCATTTTGTCGACTCGGATTACCGTTTGTCGGCACTGGTATCACTGTCATGTTACCAAATGCCGTGAATAGAATAGTACGGCATGTTATAAGATTGGGCCCAGGGGCGGGCCCGTAGCCGGGTGCGGTGACCAGTAGCGGGGCTGGGTGGCCTGTCCAGTTGGGTCGACTCAGCCCAGAAGTGTCACTAAGGTGCCCACCCAGACTAATGTCTTCCCCCAATTCCTACCACCCTTCCGGCTCTGCAATGGTCTCCGTCTCATCAGACTGAAAAGGCCTAACCAAACAACTAGCAAAACAAAACAAAACAAAACAAAACAAAACAAAACAAAACAAAACAAAACAAAACAAAACAAAACAAAACAAATCGCCAAAACTGAAATAGAACCAATCAATATTCAATTCATCGATACTGAAGACAAATAACCTAAAAACAAACAATCTTAAGCAAAAAAAAAAAAAAAAACGTCCCTGCTCATTGCGCACCATTCGCTCTCTGAACCTAATCGGTAAGACGGAGACCTACAGACTAGAGAGCTAAAATTTCATTTCCGCGACAACCGACACTGTCGGCAGAGGCCTCTATCTCTTTTCTACCAGTCATGACATTAGTCACGAGACACCAAGCACCTTACGAATCCCTAGTAACTACACCCATTTTTCCTACACACTCCAGGAATTCTCCACATTACGTACTGTGACGTCATAATCCTCATATGACGTCACCGTCAGACCGGAGGTGAGCGCGGACGCTTTCTTTCATTCACAGTCCCGCCACTCACACGTAAGCACCACACGTCTCCGTGATGATATCCTATTCACGACGGGAAATACCCAGAGATCCCGCTATTTTTCCGGTGAAAAACGTGAGGCTTAGCCTCCGTGCGCTTCCCTCACAAAGACTTCACCGACTCTTCACAAAGGCAGCCGGGAAGGTGTCAAGGCTTATGGGCGGTTCTGCGAGCGGGGTGGAAGGTACGGGGAATGACAGGGATGCCGATGGGTTGTTACGGGATTTGTCGTTAGTCAGATAGTAGCTAAGGGTCTCAGTGGTTTGGTGCAGTGTCCGCCGCGGGCCGCAAAATCCCAGTCCAGCCCAGCCCAGGCCCATGGGCTCTCAGCTCGGCCCAGCCCGAACCCATTCATGGTAAAAGTGTCAAAGCCCTGCCCGGCCGGCGGCCCAGCCCGTCAAAAATAAATGGATAAAAAATTATGGACACCACACAGGCATTCTGTCATCCAAAGTTAGCCAAAGATAAAAATATTTTGCGAGCAGCATGCCCAATTCACATTGCATACGTGCAATATTAACTCGTTTTTGCGTCTCGCACAGTAATAAGCTAGTTACGGTTTTTGTCTCAGCCGCGAACCCTTGAGTCCACTTTACAGTTATTGGCCAGCCCATCCACAGCCCATCAATCCTTCATATTTGTGGGCCCAGCCCACCCCAGCCCAGCCTGTAGCCCAGCCCAGCCCATGGCCCATTGGGCTGGCCCGGCCCGTGGCGAACACTGGTTTGGTGTAAAAGGTAGGGTAGATGAACGTTTTTTATGTCTGATGGGACTAGGGAGAAAAGAAAGAGGGTGGCATAATAGGCATGAGGTTGAATCGTGAGAGGCTTAATGTGGCTATCATATTGGATAAGACTTAGTTAGGCATGCCTTCAAATTTCCATTCGAGTAATGGCGAAAACCTGAGAGTAAAAGGAGCGTGGGTACATCACTTATGAGCAAAAGTGCAAAAGATAGTAATTCGTATGACACTCAGGACTCAGGAGGTGAACGAGTTTGAACCAGTGGATTGTGAAACCACATCATAATCTTACACAATGCCAGTGCATGAATGCATGCATACAGCTTCGCATGCTCATATTTCATCTAGCAATGTAGGCCCCAGAGGTCATCCAAGGCATGCAGATAAATAATTCACGATATTGCGAGGGGTGACTTCCGCATTTGTTTGCTTTCCGTGAGCATTAACTCAGCCGATAATGCCAGAGCAAAAGTGAATGCTCTTCCGGCTCCTTCAACAACAAGGGGCACAACTGATGCAGCAGTCCCTGTCGTAATCTCATAAAAGTATGCAATGGCTGACCCAGAATCAGCAATTGTTCAATGCACATTGCATATCTAAACAGCTTCGCGGCCTGGCTGGGAATACCCGCCTGGTAGGATCGAGGATGGTCCAAATAAAGCTCGCGCCTGCAGAGGATACGAATAGGAAGAAAGCTGCCAGGTTCCTTTCGCCTTTGCATATCGGGGCTCCGTTTCCACACGACATGCGTTTCCAAACCTCTTACAACACGGTGTTTACGGCCATGAAAGCATAATGCAGTTCGTTGAGCTAAAATTAAGTTTGAAAGCAGTAAAAAGGATAAACTTTCTGAGCAGGATTTCGAACCAACCGTGACCCTCAGGTTGAACCAGTGCAGCTGCTGGCTACCTGGCATGTAGCGCGTTTCACTGCGTGGCAGCTGAATATTTTGCAGTTTACTTGCCCCTGTAGTGTGCATTTAAGAAGCTGATAAGTCTGCCTGTTCCCTTCTTGTCTCACGCCGTGTGAATAAAAGAGAATTTGAGCTCGTTGCTTCGACTTGGATTGTATCAAAATATTTGAATACACTGTGTGTTACGGTACCACACATATTGCAAAACTGAAGGAAATCAATTTGAATCAAAACAGCCTTATGGTAAAATTGAAATAAAAGCAACACACTAGACCGCGTATCGCTCCACTTGATCAATATTATGGGGTAGAATTTAGATGAATTAATTTTAGGTAAAACCAATTATTACCAGATCACCGTCATGGAGACGGCCATCTGGTACACATTTGGTGCAGATTAGGTGCAGATTTGGTGCAGATTTTGTCAAATTAGCTGTATTGTGTTTCTTAAAAGTTACCGGTCGTAGGCGGCCGAATGTCCAATGGACAGGGACGCCTTAAAACCTCATTTTCACTCACTCACTCACTGCATAGATGCTTATAGATCTCATTTGTCAAATTATCAGACATTATTTTCTATTAAAGCACTGAAATAAATTCATGATATGAAGATATTTATTATAAAATAGGTTTGGTGCTGATTTGGTCAAATCAGGTGCATTCGCCAGATAGCCCGTCGTAAAAACGGCTACTTGATCACGCATCTCCTCACCATGAAAAGCACAGTTAAGCTCACGTTCTGAGTTTTTCCTATCATTCTCCTGACCTGCGCGTGTTTACCTACACGTGTTCCGGCCGGTCGTCCCCGCACCCTGTTCAGCGCGGAGTTTCAGTGCCGACAGCGAGCCGGCTGCCTCTGTATAGTGAAGGTCAGAGCCCAGTGTTTGATCTCCAATACTGCAGCTAACCAGAAATCCTGTGTGACCGCATATCCAGCCCCGCAGATTAGAGGTGCAAGCTTTTCTATCACAAGTTACCACACCAAACACATTACTGAAAACTCGTTTCACTACTATATGTATGATTCGGAGCAGTTATATTTGGCTTGCTTACAGCAGTTGGCTAAGTTACTTTGTCGTAAGTGTTGTGCCCGAAATGTATCGGCATGGTGTGGTTGTGAAAGCATTGCACTTGCTCACTTCCATTGCAAATTCTGCACGTTCGTTGCAGACAAGACTGCAGTTTTTACCGAGCCTTTGGCAATCACTCTGGGCTTATGGAGCGTATCTTTCTGACAGTGTGCTACCGGAAGAGTGGGATTAAGTGCTCGCTCGTTCCTTGGCTGCATTTTTAGACGTTTTATGGATTAGATCAACTTTTTTGCTTCCTGACCCATTGGTCATGTGGAAAGACAACCACAACTATCTAAGGGCAAATTATTTGGTTTGCTCTAGGCAAAAATACCGACCGTTCATCCCCACCGCTTCCGAATAACATTGCCTCCAAGGCATAAACAGAAAGTACACAGAAAGCACTGGACCTTTCAACAAAATAGCGAGAATAAATCCCTTACCCTCCCCTCCCCTCCCCCCCCCCAAAAAAAAAATCGGCCATAGGCAAGTCAGTACGAGTCTGCACCAAACGTACCCGGCACATCCACACATGCGTAAACAAGCGTGCACATACTACTCTCACAATAGCAACCAACCTGTTTTGTGAATCCTCCGCCGCTCTGCCTCCCACTCGTCCCTCTTTCCACTCTTCTCTCCTCACCAAGCGTCCAACTCCAGCATCCAACTCCAACCTCCAACTCTCTCACTCCCACCGTCTAACTCCTACCACACAACGGCTAACCACCCTGGCTGTTCCCACTCCGCGCTACAACTGCCCGCTCGAGTTACTTACACCCAGACACCAGCAGCGCAGGACGGGCTGGCGCATCTCCCGGCTTTTCCACTCCCCTGCGGCGAGAGGCAAGTGGCGCCACCTGCATAGTGCGGTACACGGGATTTCCGTAATCCCACCCTGTCCTCGGTATATTGTGAGCGGGCGGTAAGCGATGATCGGGGAAGGGGAGGGGAGGGGATGAGTGGGAGGGAGAGAGTGGAAAGAAGAGACGATGAGGGCCGAGAGGTAGAGTCGAAGAGAAAGATGACTGTTTGTTGAAGGTTGTCTCATCAGTTTCTACTTAGTAAGATTTCACGCGTTCCATATAGGTATTGTAGAAAAAAAAGGATTATCAATTATGCGTGACCACCCCTACGTGTACAAAATATTTGCTCTCACGTCTAATAAGTGACGTCAGCTTCCGACATCAGATCAAATTAAATGCAGCAGGTATGTAAAGCGTTAAACTTACCTCTATAGTTATATGATCCATTAACCATCCCTTATCAACAAGACACAGCAAACGGGATGGGATTTGTAAAGAAGGTGGCACGGCCACAGTCGATGAAAAACTGCAGCTCTACCCGTCTTGCAGCGCCGTACATTTGCGCCTCCCAGCAAAACCTTGAAGCCAGACCGGAACGTTGTCCCACTGCGCTCCCGAGCATTTGCAATGCTGACTTAATCCATTATACATTCACCCTGGCCCTAACTATGCTAATATCGACAGCAGAGGCTGTCTAAATCACGCCTGCTGTCAGCCAACAGACGGTGCAGACTGCAGAGGCGACGTTCATCGCATGCAACAAAGACTTCTCTCGCGTTGCAGTAGCACCTATCTGCAATTTGCATCTCTAAAAAATAGCTGGTCTTGATCGACGAATCAAAAAGACGTAGTAGGCATTGCCCGGACCGGACGAACCATTCAGAACATGGGCGAACAATGAAAGGAAATGTTGCATAGCTACGGAGTTGCATCAACTATTGCGTCAATATTGCAAATATACGCACATGAGTAGTTGCCAGACTATTTAGAAGCATGACACATCCATTGTGTATGGCGTGCACTTCCATGTGATTCATTTGCTTTGGTTCAAACCAGTAGTTTCCAGCTTGGATATTTCTGTCAAAACTGCTGAAGCACGTCGGATATTTTTACGCTTATGCATATTCCCGTCCATACTGCAAACCATCAGAATTCAGTAACAATCGGGAACATAATCTTTTTGCCGCCATCGGCAGCCAAGAGTGATGATGTATGGCGTCCAGAAATTGCTGAATCATCATTGATATTGCATTTCCAGCTCCTCTCATTTTGTGGTTTCTTACTGCAGGGAACAATGAGCTGAACAGTACCACAAGTGCCACAACCACGTCCGAGACGAGAGATTGTCTGGGTAGTAAGCCAAACCTCCATCCCCTTCATCAACTCCGCAGTCCCTACAACGTTCGAGAAAGGCCATCAGATAAGAGCAAGGTTGTGCCAGCGTGGAACTGCTGTCAACTCGCCTTGACTCACCGCCCAGCGGAGGAGTCACGAGTCACTGAGTCACGTGAGTCACCACGAGAGCAGATTCACTTTCTGGGGAAGGCCCAAGGAAGGCCCGGAAGGCCAGATGAATGATAGCATCTCTGGATAGCATCCCGATTGCGGGGAAAATGTGTCCAAGCGTCTACAAGTGACGACAAATGCCAAACGAGTCCGGCTCGGTATAAAGTGATTTGTAGGAGACCAGGAATTTTCCCGGGAATTTTTGGGGACATCACTCATTCCAAACTTGGACTGTGAGAGAACACCTCACTTGAACAGCTGAACGTAAGCAAATGTGAAATGAAAACAGCATGTCATCTCGATATCATAAATGGATAGACAAAGGCGACAAGGTAGGTGGTCTTCAAACAACAAGTCAAAGCAATCGACAAGTTTAATAGCCCTATCATTTCAGCACAGAAGGCGTCAAATGACAACGAAGGCAAAGAAAGACAAAATGTGCAGCGGAAAGCTTAAAAAACAGTCGGTAGCAGAGCGACAAACTTGTATGCTCCTAATCCATACATGATACTGTAATGAACCACCGATAAGCAATGCAAAAAAAAAAACATCGATCGGTGAACCTCATTAAAAACCCGGGGCAGCATTCAGTTCACGAGTACGCTTATATGCGAGTATGCATACCAGCTTACTATCGCTATACCGAGAAGTCTTTGACAGCAGATTCCGGACTAAGTTTCAGTTTATTCAGTCTAAGTCGCGACCGCAACGGGTGCAGTGGGACAAGGTCACACTGATTCAGGATCAGCCTTGATCTTACACACGAGTACAGCACACGTGGTTAACTCCCAGAAGGCTTGGTATCGCTGCTGGTAATCAGGCAGACAACGCACGTTTATACCTATAACCGAGAGTTTTGGGGAGGCTTTTGTCACTGCCGGATCCAGATAAGTTGCATCGAGAGCCATGGGAACATAATCCCCCCCAAAATCATCAAATTAAAAACACGTAATATTTTGTTTCCTTGTGCGTTGCCACGCACTTTAAACTTTTTTTCCCAACAAAACTTGTTAACTTTTGTATGATAGGAACAAAAATCAAATTCGAATGTTGTGAGGACAAATGCTTTAGATGGCCCCTTGTATCCGCCGGTGGCTTTGTGGTTCTAGTTAGATGCTTGGACGCTCTGACAAGCTCTGCAAAAATTACACAGCGTTTTTCAGGAAGATGAACTTTGTGCTGGGACAGGAATCCGCTGTTTTATTCAGTCACGCCTATTACCAGTCTTTCGGAAGTCCGATCAGCGCATGCCATCTTAGAGCAATCAATGCCTATCAGTGTGCAACAAGATCTTGTGAGCATCATTCATCTCAGGAAATGTTGATAGTCATCTCCCCAAACCAAGAAAACATACCACCTCTTGTGCGGCAGGGGCAGAGAACATCGGTGATTGTAATGATTCAAAGAAACATAGCACCCGGCATTGGAGACTGCACTTACACACAGAAAGATATCCATGTGGTCGGAAGATGACTGCGACAATTCACAGGAACACAGCACCCGGCAATGGAGACTGCACTGTCACACAGAAAGATATCCATGTGGTCGGAAGGTGACTGTAAGGAGTCACAGAAACGTAACACAAAGCATTGGAGAATGGAGACTGCACTTTCACACAGAAAGGTATCCAGCGGTCAAAGGTCTGCGGTGAGTCCGAGGAACATAACACCCAGCATCGGAGACTGCACTTTCTCACACAAAGGTATCCAGCGTTGAAAATGTATCGTGGATTGGAGCTATAGTCTGGCAAACCTAAGAAAGAACGGAGTTCAAGCGCCTGATTCACTTTGCACGTGTTTTGATCATTTGAAATGTATGGTTCGGAGAAATTTGTGTGAAAAGTTGTGACAGAATATATGCCCGATATATGCTCTCACAGTATAAACCTCTTGGTATAAACCAAGGTATAAATGCACACGCATCAGCGGCACAGCACTCTAAATCCACTCTTTCTTAGGTTTGCCAGACTATAGTAAAAAGCGCGGCCGGCAGACTGATAGTAGCTGGGTATTACTTTTAGGGTCGGGCCACATCAAATGCTTATAAAGAACGCATTAGTTCAGATTATGTCGCAGCCCGCAACCAATCAGTACCAGCGTCAACGATGTGTCACGGCAGGCATTGTCGAAACCGTGTGCGTCAGCCCAAACCCCTTTCTGTCGAACTCGCTCAAAGACTGCTCGGCTCGTCTGCTCAGCACCCCATTCATGGATTCGGCTCAACCCAGCATCTTGCTGAGCCGGGCCGACCCAACTCACGGTGAAGTGTCCGCTGCTTAGCTCCATCCCACTGAGTCGGCCGGCCAAACTCACTGTCCGAGGCTGCCGAACTCAGTTCAAAGCTCCGCTCAGCTGAGAAAATTGTCATCAGTTATAATGCAGGCCGAGTGATTGCTCAGTGACTTGTGACTACCATGTTGGAGCACTGATCTACATAATACATTTTCAGTAGGCATTTATCGTTTCCAATGTTACGCCCCACTTCGACTAGGATCTTCCGGTTGGCACGCTGTTGATTGCATTATCAGTTATCTACTATATCACAGCCAATGCGGCCGGTTTGTGAAGGAACCGGTTTGCAGCTGCGTTTTTCGCAGTTATGATCAGGCTACGCCTTATGTTATCTACGCCTTCACCTATGCAAAGCACTGTGCAGTGCGTGCTATGTTCGTGAACTGCGTTATTGCGTCTAAATATTTATTACAAATCTAGCGTAATTTAAGAGAAAATCTAGCGTAAATCTGAACGATCCCATTCGTAAACAACACCGATTTGAGTGGTCTTTTTATTCCATTAGACACATTACCTACAACACTTGGTGTATTTTGTACACGACATTGAAGATGTCAGGCAAGTATAGGGGGCGCCTTGACGCCATGCCGATTCGAAGATACACATTGAAACTTAGACGGGGCAAGCGGAGAGACAGGGGCAAAACAAAGTCGAGCGCATTCACGCCAGGGAGAAATTCTGTCCAAAGCTGAAGCACAACACCCGACGAAGCCAGACACGTTAGCAGCTCAAACGCGAACACATTTAACGAAAAGCGCGGCGCCTGGTCGGATTCGAACCGGCGCCCGAAGGATGCCGCCAGCGCAGAGCAGCAGCTGATCGGCGACGCGAGCGCAGAAACAGGGTCGAGGTCGGGACGAGATACGAGCGCGCGGTTATTGTCAGCAGCAGATCTGAGCCGGCGAGAGGACGGGGGGCGGGGACAGAGGGGCGGAGGGGCGGAGAGCAGAGCCGCCACCGCGGGCGGGCAGCAGCGGGACGACTTTGGACTGGGCGGGGGCGGGGTCGGCGGCCGACCCCTGGGGAACATACTGGCCGCTGTGGGAGCCTGTGGGGCAGTGAACAGGGTGTGGGGAGGGGGGGGGGCGACTCGGCGCTCTCTCGCTCTCTGCTTGGTCCGGTGCCGGCCGGCCGAGGCTCTACAGCTCAACTCACCCACCGGCACACGAAAACACCGACTTTGGCGCGCGCGCGCCGCGCTGTACCAACCCGAGACCAGAGCGTCTTACTTACTGCTCTTCCAGGACGAGATTATATTTTAGTCGCCGGGCATTTCGGTCGCATCCCGGAACCCCCTTTGTGCGTTCGGACCGCACAAAAAACAGCTCGCTAACCGCACGGAGCGAGCGAGACGAGGTACAAGGTTTGACGCTCACACACACACTCGCACACGCGCACCAAAGCTAACGAATCGCCACACGCAGCACGGGCGAACGTCAGCCCAACGCGGTCGCACAACTAAGAGGCAGACGCGAGCGAGAGGGGCTGGCGATGGCTTTAGTTTTACACCCAGTATAGCCGCTTTAGGGCGATTCATGTTCTTCCCCAAACCACGCCAGCCCTTGACGCGTAACGAAAAGAACAACAGTCGTCGAAAAGAATGGTGCACACATGTAAAATACTGAACCAATCTGCGATGTAAAACTGTAACCACTCGGAATCCGAGCAGACCCGGGTAAAATTCATGTTCCTGATCGCACGCACGCACGTGCGGGCGGCTTAAAGGGCAGATCTAAACGTCCAACCACCGCTGCGAGCGGTGTGGTACGGCACACACCCCGCAGCACCACCGTCAACTACGGGGCCCCGCCCGGCCGACCCGGCCTGTTCGGCGGCCAGGACCGGGCCGCGGGCGCCGAGCCAACTATGTACAACACGATCAGCATTTATACAGCACTCACACACCCGCGCACATACATGTCTCTTGCAGTCTCCTACAGCTGGCGTGAGAGCCAGCAGTTCTCACTACTCGACGGGTCCCTAGCGCCATCTACCACTCTCTCTCACTCGCGACACTCTCCCTTTTCTACACGCTAAACTTGTCCTTCTGCCAGCACGCACATCAGCCCTCCCATTCGGCACCTTCCGCTCTTCTTAACGTGCCTCTTCCGGTACCTTCTAGCGCCAACGGAGCCTTCTCAACCCCTCCAACATCCAACCATCCGCACCGCTTCCCACGACGAGCCTATCTTTACGGCGGCTGGCGCTCCCGAGAGCCCATCACCGCGGCGGCTGGCGCTTCCCTCTCTACTTGCACAGGCGCGCGCGGCGACCGGGAGTCGGCGGCGCCCTCTCTGCCGTCGCGCTGAGTATTTCGGGCAGTCCGGTACTGCGGACTCCGACCGGTGAGCAACAGAATGCTCCTGTCTGGAGCGAGGTGCAGCGCCCGCCTGCGCCGCTAGTACGGGGCGAAGCGGTTGTACGCTCCTCGGTACATGGTGGCCTGCGGGAGGAAAGGGGAAGGGGGGGGGGGGGGTCAATGGCGAGCGTTACATGGTGTCAGAACTGGGATAAAGGTGCCTAAAGCACACGCAAAAGGCGGATATCAGGTTAATTTCGAATGCCTGAAGACACTACTGCTTAGAAGCAGAGGACTTTAATCAACGAAGATAACGTTTCTAAGCTCATTATTCAATATGATTTCGCTGCTTGAACTCATGTTAAAATATCACATTTACAGGCAATAACAATCAACAAAAAAAAAACTCAATTGATCACCACCCTTAGACACCCAAGTCCCGTGTTTCACGTACGCCGTATCCAGCCACCGGGCCTATGCTGTGTCCCAGGTACGGATCCGCCGCGTACTCAGTCGATGTGGGGATCCTGAAACACGGGGGGCCGTCAGTCACAGCGCACGAGGCGGACGGAAGGGTAGGGGACCCGCGGACACATCACATGTGCGTCTTATCCGCTGACTGAAGAGCAGCAATAGACCTAATATTGCATAGCAGTTCGTGGTTGTGTCCTACATTTTTAGGAAACGTTACAAATACGTGCTAAATAAACCATTATTTCCTGAAAAACACACTATGTACCATAACTTCTTAAATCTCGTTATTGAAACACAAGGTGAAAATGGGGCTAAATAGCCTAAATGCCCGTTCCGCAGAACTGCGCAGTCCCGCCCCGAGACTCTGACATGCAGTTTGGCCGCATGCGCCGTGCTGGTAAGACATCATTACACCGAGCCGCCGCGATGTGCGCATGCCCGACGCAGCTCCTCAGTCACCGGCGGCCTCCGTAAACGACACCAACACACGCGCGGCATGCCACTCTGGCGGCGGCACGCGCCGCTAGGCCGCACGTGCCGAGAAAACAAACGGAAGCACATCGTTTTGCAGCCAACTGTACAGAAACAGCGCCATCCTCTGAAAAGCGATGAGTCGACAAGGGCGTACGGAATCATTCCACGACACAGTAGGGGACACATGCTCGTCTAGAGAACATGCAGCTGATGCGGAAAATCCAACGTTAACTCAACGCGTGGTCATTGAGCGGTTTAGATGAGTTATTTGAGCAAAAACTAGAATATAAGCGATGAATAATGCTAGGTGATTTTATACAAAAGGAACAATTAGATATTCCAGTAAAATATGTTAACGATATTTTCTTCTGTTTATGCTATTTTCTGTTTATGACAATTCATATTGCAACATTATATGCAATAGAAAAAGTGGGAAGAAGAACGGTTAAACCTAAACATAAACAAGCAGAATCGCAGCTGGCTCAAACAAGAACAGAAAGTGTCATGTTTCCCGGCAACAAACAGGTGTCAATGCTCATCATCAACGAACACAAACATGCTCGTGTCAACAAACATGCTGGTCGCAGCGTCCCGGAGGCGGCTGAGAAGCGGCCCCAGCGCGCTACATGGCGCCTCCCCCGCGGCGCGCCTGAGAGCGCCCCTGCCGGCGACCGGCGCCGGGTAACGCGGCAGTGCTGCCACCTAGCGGTAAGTACAGCGGCATGCACCACTGGAGAAACGAACACAGACGGTCGACCGAGCGGCGCCGGCGAGAGGAAAACGGAACACTGCCAGTGGGAAGGAGCTGCTGAGAAACGTGACTTGACCAAGCAATGTTTCTTAAAACGCAAGGTATTAGATACGACATAATTTTGAGCCAGAAACAAAGTTATTCAGTTACAATTGAAAGGCTGATTGAGAGCTAAATATCGAAGATCTCAAGCATCGTGGCCTCATATGGCAGCAGTTTTCCGTCATTTTCCTTCACCGGCGCCGGGTGCATGCCGTGCCTTCACACATGCTACCAACGCCCGGGGGGCGAAGTCACCGGAGCCATTCAGGACGTCGTCGGAACGCCGGCGCCTCATCTACAAAACCACACCGGTCGCGTCAGCGCAGTGGTTTTCATCGCAGCCGTAATCCGTGAGCAGTGGCATGCCACAGATCATTCTCGGGTTCATTCTCGGCGGACCAGAAGTACACCAAGCGCGTGTGACATTAAAAAAAAATAAATCAATCCATCCCATGCGATGAATGTAACTAAAACCGGTAGCAAAAATCATAACCATCGTTAAAATGCAGTGTTAAGAGCGTGTAAATAATTAACGATCATGCCTGAAGTTATGTTGTTCCCACCGATGCACCGATTTACAAACATGCCCAAACATTTCCGTGTTAGTCCTATCTACACAATACCGCCATAATCAAACGCATCGCCTTTCTACAAAATAACACACCAATCTCATAGCCTCCGGGCAGTAACTCCCTCTCCTCTCTGTACCTCTGCCCCCGGTACTCACCCGAGGGCGGCCAGCTGCGCCTGCTGCGCCTGCTGAGCCAGCTGAGCCTGCTGGACGAGCTGCGCCTGCTGCGCGGCCGCCGCCGCCGCCGGATAGGTGCCGGCCGCCGCCGCCGCCGCCGGCGCCGCGCCCGCCGCCGCCGTCGCCAGGTGGGTCGGCTGGCCGCTCATAGCCACCGTGTAGGCGCGCGCGGCCGCCGCGTTGTAGGCCGCCACCCCAGCCGCCTGCTGGCCGGTGGAGAGGGGCGGCGGCTTGAGCAGCTGCGCCTGGGCCGCCGCCGCCGCCGCCGCCGCCGCTGCCGCACTGCCGGGCTGCAACCGCGTACATGGGCACACTGAGCCGCCTCGCATGCAGGAGAGGAGTGCCGGGGGGCCGGGGGAGGAGCCAGAAGCCGGACAAGCGGGTCCCGTGCCCGACTCCCCGACCTCGACCTGACCCGGGGAGGGACCCGGTGTGACCCCGACACCAAGGGAGGGGAGGGGAGGTCCCCGTCCCGGGAGCGCGGGAGGATTTCTGTAGAGTTCCCTCTCCGAACTGGTCGAGTGTGTGACGGTGGAACGGTGGCGTGTTTTCATGTGTTTGTGTTTTGCTTGTCACCTGCCATGTTTTGGTAACTTTGTTATTGTGGGTCCTAACTGGGGCGAGGCAATGGTGTCTGGAAATCATTTCGCTTCTTCGGTCAACACGCTTAGGCTAAATTTCACACTTGGACACCCAAAACACATTTTATCACCCTACTGCTCACAACTCCTGAGACAGAACATTCCTAAGGCCTACAAAAATCAAAGATGACTATGTTGCAACCATACGTATCCTACAAACATACAAAAATTGACGATTGTAGAAAATGCTACTGACACAGCCAATATTATGGGGGCATTCACAATTATACCTAAAATATTAAGACCACTTATTAAAACAAATCGATACACAATTAACGTTCACTATTGACTATTTAGCATGACGCCCTTGAATCATAACATAAAATACATTTTAATATTCCCGGCGGCTGAAGACGGCCAGAATACATCCCATTCTGGCAGAATTTCGAAAATAACAGAATTTCACCAACAATTTTGATTAAAAAAAAACGAAATAAAGAGGCTAATCGAAAACGTTCAGAAGCCAGTAATGAACGTTTTCGACACACGTTTTCGCCCTAATTTTGATTATGAAATTTACAAGGCCTCGTAACGAATTTTAATAAATTTCAGCCACATTTATTATTTTTAGTGCCGCCGTGCGCGGCCACACATACGGCAGGCGGCGTCTCCTGCAGGACGGCGCACTGTGGCCATCATTTTAGTGTTACGGTGTCAAAGCTCTACTGTTAAGACACTGCACAGGACCCAAACCAACACCGCAGATTACAGCATGCATGACCTGGTGCGAGGGCAGAACAATGGGTGCAAACAACACAAAACGCCCCGGCATACCATCCGTCTTCTGATTCATCACAGGTGCCACGAGTTTAACCCTTTACTGTGTATTCCCTACTCTCAATGCGCATTAGTCCCTGTTTTGGTTTGTTGCCTTAGCTAGCAAAAGCTATCTTAGGTTTTATTTAGCCTTGTCATTTTCTGGCGGCCTGAAAACGGCTAAAGTGCCTCTCTTAAAGGAAATGAAGGCATTGATAGCCAGAACCCTTTTGGTAAGATTTTGCGACTGATCACAAATTTATTCAGAGTGTTACGTCTGTTTTATCAGCACTAGTCAGATCTCCCACCCCTTCAATGCCATGACGAATATATATATGACGATATCAATGCTTATAAAACAAAATAGCAAGACAAGACAAGCCCCTGAAGCTCAAATTCCAACTAACATAATTCGTTTTCAAAAGCACCCAGTCGGACAGACTAGACGGCACTCCCAAAAGGCGGACAATTACACCTCTACCGATACCAACAGGACAATGAATTCGCTTAGGCTTGGGGATTGGCGGAAAAGGGAGAATATGCCATTTTAAATGTGGACTCAATCCAGAGCATCCTTTAGATGCGGAGCAGATTATTTTTAATTTTTAGGGTATAAAAGGTTCACACCGAATTGGTAGCCTTCGAATCCAAAAGCCCTGTGATTCCCTTATTAAATCTTCTGTGGTTTAGCATAATTTCTTCACTTCCCATTTCTGTGTGATTGTTTCAGAGTGAATAATAGATTAAGACTTCAAAGTATCTTCGTCTTTGTAAGTCAAATGTGCGCGTTCAAATAAGAATCGTTGCCAATTTTGGTGTCCACTTAAGACCTTTCTGCCTGCTCAGAGCTCGTGATGAGGCCCCCTTTAAACCAGCTACTATGAGACAAATTAATATTACCTAGCTAACACCCAGCCACAGTAAGGGGCTTGCCAGATAACACAGTGGTGTCAGTTGTATTTGCAGCTCTCCACCAGTGACGTCATACGCTCTCTACCGTCTCCACCAATGACGTCACATGCGTTCTGGCTCGGCCGTGTCACCAGTCACGGTGGCCTGTGTGCCCCACTGCCGGGGTGACTCCTACCCCTGTCTCATGCAGCCGGGGGGAGAGCATGCGGGGTCGGTGCAGAGGGATGGAGGATCAGTAACGGTTACTGGACGCATGCCGGGGGGGGGGGGGGGGTGAGGGGGGGGGGCTCAGTGCCAACCATGTACACGGTTCGGTGGCAGGCGGCGGCGGCGGCAGCGACCGCGGCAGAGCACAATAAAAGCAGCACAACACAATATGGCGACATGCAGCATTCGTAAGTCGGCGGACGGCGGCGGCGGAAAAGACGGTGATGGTAACCGATGATAGCAAGGGGGAAATTCACCGAATACACCACGGAGAGCGGCCTTAGGTTTAGCAGAGTTAAACAAAAGTAGAGTTTTGGTACCTCGTGAAGCCTTACTTGAGCTGAATTCACAAAGACTGACGATATCGTCTTCGTGTCATAGTTTGCAGGCTAATACAATTGTTAACAGCCAGGAGACATGATTTTGATGCAAAGGCAATGTTTCTAAGTGCTCCTGTCTTGCTAGGCGGACTAATGGTCAATATAAGTTGTCATTGACCGGAGCTAACACATCCGCCGCCACCCCCGTCGCATTATTTTCGTATCACCCCAGCGCTGGCTGCGGTAACACCCGCGGACTCTCCCTCAGCCACCTACCGGCCGGGCCGGGGAGCGTTAATTCACATACAGACCTCTGAGTGTGTATTACAGAGCGGGGAGAGCGGGGTAGAGCGGGGAGTTACCTGCAGCTGGGCAGCCATAGCCGAGTTGGCCATCATCGCCGGGTCATAGTAGAGTCTGAAACAGAGCACAGACACAGCGCTGGTCGGTCAGAGAGACGGAAATATATCAGACGTGAACGTGATCGGGCAATGTGGGCGATTAGGAAACTAGCGAATGACGAGCAGTAGTTGGTGAATGACAAGACGCTAAAGTCCTAGTTACAGTCACCGTTATTGAAGAATAGGTCCAGCCTCGTTCAAAAACTTAAAAGTACATGTGTGATTTCGTCAAATGGCTAACCGATAAACTGACAGCTAAGCTCAAATGATCACGTAAAAATGAAGCTTAATATTAAATGTAACTCGATTTCAGTGCAAACTTAATCAAATGATATATTCGTGCCTATACTGCTAGCCTTGGCACCCATCACAGTGCTCCCACTTTTTGTTGGGTTAGGCCCTTTCGGTCTGACAAGACCATTTCAGAGCCGGGAGGATGATAGGAATTAGGAGGAGGCATTAGTCTGCGCAGGCACCCTTGAGAGTCACTGGGGCTGAGCCCGTCCCAAGGGACAGGCCGTGCCGCTCCAAGGGAGCAGCCCGCATGAGATGAAGTTGCCTGTCCAGCCCGGAGTGGGATTGCGGCATGGAAGAGAAGGGTTTGAATGTCCTGAGGATGGAAACGGCGGACGGATGCCCTCAAATCCTCCACGTCCGAGCGGACATCTCCGCTATCCGAGATACCCCGTCACCCCGTCACTCACGGCGTATATCCGTGCAGCGCTGACGCCGCCGCCGCCGCCGTCATCGGCGCCGGATGACGCGCAAACGGCGCCGCCGCAGCCGTCGGCAGCGCCCTCACCCGGCCGCGCTGCAGGGCCGCTCCGCGCAGAGCAGCCGCTGGTGACACAGACACAGATTATCTAGCGGCTGACAGAGAACTACAGCTTCAGACACAACCAGGTGCAGACACAGCCATCTAGCGGCCGGGTGATAAGTAGAGGTTCGGCCGCCGCCGCCAGGCGACCGTCGCTGTATTGACCGGCACAGACTCGACCGACTGACCCGTCCCTGAAAACGGCCGCCGCCGCCGCCGCCGCGCCGGCCGGCGCTCAGCCAAGCACGAGCTCACGGCAGCTGATAGGCCCAGAGACAGGCCCGCGGCTTAGGCGGGCTTCCGACTGCCTTTATAAAGGAGCCAAATGTACGGATATTCAGCTCCCTGGTCGCTGCGGCGGCGGGAGGGAGGGGGAGAGGTGGGGGAGGGGGACGGGAGGGGCGCGGTGGCAGAACGCCGCTGAACTTTGCCGGAAGTTGCCACATCGCTCCGGCCAACGGGGGTTCGCACGGGGGAAACGGCACAGAGTGTGTGGTAAGAGGTCAGACCCAGGTCAAACTGTCGACACGAAAAACATGCACACGTGCAGGGCGACAAGACGGAAAGAAAGAAAGAAGGATATTCGTATGTCAAAAGAGCTGAACAGTTCTGATGTATTATACAGGACACAGGTAGTTCAGAAGTTGAAAGGTCACAATTCAAGCGGTCAGGTCATCAAAATTATTGGTGGTAATTCATTATTCGACATCATAAATATACAGAAAGGCCAACATGTGGACATTCAGTGTAGCTCCGCTTACAAGGAACGACTTAAAAAGCATGTAGTAGATGGAAACAAACAACCCAAACTAAATCATAATAACATAAAATGTGATAAGGAGCACGACCGAAAAACAGCATCAGGAGGATAGGAGCTAAGTTAAACATGGCTGTTATCGAACGTCCCCACATCACAGCACTCGCGGTAGTACAACTACGGGTTAACTAACACGACAAACAAACACTCGCACACCACACAAACATGCGCACAAACACAATACAGCAGAGCTCCAAAGCGTTCGTCCGACATCAAAAGCCAACCGTTGGTGCAGAAAGCCTAAGATGAAAGTGCAGGAAAGTGCGAAAAGGTGTAGCGAAAGTACAAACGGTGTCGATGCTGTAATAACATGATGCAATTGTTCGACTAACATCCACCCCATCTTTCATTGTTTTCCGAGGGAGCCTTATCTGTGCGACACGAGCTCACATCGTCGACACCGACAGGCTACCGCCGCGTCGCCTCCGGCGCTAATCGCATTACCAGTCGGTGCTCGCGGCCACACACACGTCCCCCGGCGGCGGCACGGACAGTAATGTTACTCCCATGAGGGCACGCTACGTGAGCGGCCGGCGCGAGACAATTTATTCCGCCGTGCCTAACCTACGAGCAGCCGAGGGGATATACGGGGTGAAATGCTACCCAGTCGCGTGGCGAGGGTGCTTGATCTTCACTATTTATCAGAATGAAGCGAACGGAGAATAGCAAGCAATCGAAACTATTGTAGTTTTGCAAGTTGCTAGCCCGAATGTAAGTTTTGTTTTTTAGTGCGTACTAGCGACATGCCCCTCAAATGCACTATTCGTTAAAGTTCTAACTATAATGCCATCGACAATTACCATCTGCACCACTGATTTGATGCTTGCTTGCATATGCGAGTGAAACACATGAGCTGATTTTACTTTTGTAACATTACTCAAGTAATGAAACGCGGATTGCATTCAAACGCTTCATTTCTAGTGGAGAAATTTCACGCATCAATTTAGCCTGGGGGTTATACCCGACATTAAAGTAACAAACGAACAATGATTGAAACATTTTCACTGTTTCGACAACAACCACACCGCAATATTTTACAGTGGTTGGGTGCGCGGTGCGGTGTGATGGGTGCAGGGTGCTATGTGCCCGAGTGCATACGTCAGGGTGCAGGGAGACAGACAGAGGGGTGCTGGGTTAGACACAACACAACGCACAAACGCCGGACAAACAAACAAACAAACAGGCTTCAAACACGGACAAACAGGCGAACAAACGGGAGGGAGAGAGAGCGACAGAGTGAGCTAGAGAGCGAGTGAGAGAGGCAACAGGCCAGCCGGTTGTCGACCCTTCTCACCCAGGGGTGTAGCAAGCATCGCGGTCCTGGCCAGAAGTGCTACGCCGGAGAAAACTACCATCAACATTCGGCCTCCGCCACCGGGGGAACGTACGCGGCGGGGCGCGAGGGGTGGCGACGGGTGGAAGAGGGGGTACTGAGAGGGTGGCTAGAGGGGGAGAGGTCGAGGGAAAGGGAGAGGGAGAGGGGAGATAGATGAGGGCAGACAGGCACGACCAAACTAGGATTGTGGTACACATATGAACCATCACGGTAGAAGAAAATAAGTGTGATGAGCCGGACTAGGGTCAGACAGACAGCACAGTGTACGGGACAGGCGAACGCAATGCGATGTGCGAGTTAGACGTGTGTTTGATGTATAACTCCAAACTCACTCCAAGTGAAGAGCTACGACATACATTGACATGACCCCGGAACCGTAAGGACAGTTTGGAAAAACCCGAAACCTATTTGTGACTTCTTGAAATTGATTATCTGTATGAGAACACTGGCTGAGAGGCCTTGGTGTACATTGAGATTAAATTATTAATAGTAAGTAAATAATTTCACACGCCACTTTAATTTGCATGCACAGCATTCGCGTGGTTTGGACCCATGTAACCACTAGAAACGTAGCCACGCTCGGTGAAAGTAAAATCCCCACAGTCATTAATTACAAACAGGTCAAATGCTCGGAAGGGATCGCCAAATCTCATGGCTGGTGTGATGCGACAATTCGTAAGCTTCGAGCCAAGGTGTGCAGGAAAACAGCGAATTTATGAATGCGTACCCGTACCTGAGGATACATTCACTCATACTCAGTGCACAATTCTGTTACAATACAATCACGAAATTAATTTCCATGTAGGTTTAGAATAGTCCGGCAATCATTCATCCAATGCTCGCACATACACATTTCGACAAACGAACATTGTCATTTAAGCACCCAACATGCTCACAACTCAAAACGCACCATCCGAAACTCAGCCCCTCTCAGTTTGACCACAAACGCCTTCCGTTCCTTCATGCAGATTCACCCACATTTCAACAAGACGCTACACTTCCCCATACGACGAAAACGTAACTTAGCCCCCAGATAATATCAGATAGAAGATTCAATCAAGCAGTTGTCATGCATTTCAACATCGGTACTGATACATTTCTGGAGGGTGAGGGATTGTATAGAGGGTGCAATCATCAGGGGGACGGGGAGGGGAACTCACCATTAGGTAACGCTGTGGCGGCCGGTTTCTTTGTCTGTACCCGGGCGGTGGCGTTGTTCACCTATGACGTCACAAGATTCACAGAAAGGTCAGCAAAGGTCATACGGTCCAAACACGACAAAGTCGCAATGAAACTGAGAAATATATTATCAAATATATGAATCAATGAGAGCACAACTCCAAACTTTAAACTAACGATTTATTGCTTTAGTTATTCAACAATAATAGGTATCAACAGCGTCTCCTGAACGAATGTTCGATAGAAAATAGCTAATGGTAGATTTAAGTTAGATCACTTAAAACTTTTGGCAAATATGACTACAGAAAGCAGAGTTCCGAAGCAAAGCACATCAAACAAATTCAGTAACACATCCTGAAAACGGCGAGTCTGGGTCAACTTAAATATATGCTGCCTTAACTAAAACTTACCTTTGAGGAAGATAACATTAAATCAGCTCAACATGTGTCTCTCTAAGTATCAGTCAATAAGATACATGTGTCTCTCTAAGTATGAGTCGATAAGATGTTTGTCTAGTCAGTAATACAAAGCGTCCATGACTCCATAGCTAGATTTGTGTCTTACTATGTCGTAAGTGTGAATTGTAAGTCAGTAGTTCGAACTACGGGTGTGTACTGTGGTCTTCAGCCGTGCCTTTTTTATCCTTTTACTAAAGGAAGCATGTAAATAAAAAGACGTCCGTATAGCCCTGAGCTCTGAGAAAGCGAGCGGGACCGAGCTACCGCCAGCCGGCCTGGACAGGTAGACTGTCCCGCCGGACGCCGAAACCATGCGGCACAGCATAACTACAGGCGCTCCGCTCGCAGGGAATTCTAGGTTGTCTCCGAAATACCTGCCGCAACTGCTGAGGAGTGACGAAATTGGAAGCTAGGCGGTACAGCGTTCTCTCATGAATTGCTTTACAGTGGATAGATAAGAATTAACTTCCGATTATTATTACGCGCAAGACCAATGCTGTTCAAACTCGAGTGAAAATATCGTTTAGACAAAACTGACAAAACAGAGCGTTTGAGACTAATAAAAGTAAAATCCATTAGGTGCCTAGCATTAAGAATAGCCTCTTGTCAAAAATATGTCAAAGAAAACAATCTTTTGTCCATTTGATGCTCTTCCTTTCACTTATCCATGCAAGCCCTGACACAAGCTAGCACGACGCAATTTGTCCTAAAAGCCCTCTTCAAACATCTTTATCTCCGGACGCATCTGACTCGCTTTCACAGCATCTCCCCAGAGACTTGGATCCAAGCAAACCGTGACTGGAATTCCAACAGCGTCATCCATACAAACGTCCGCGGCATTCTGTACAGATTCCGCCGTCCCCCCAGGCAGCCAGTTCTGCGGGCTATCCCGCGGGAGACCCCGCGAACATCCTGTTTCAATTCCGCTACGTTAGTGGTGGAATAACTGCCCCAAATGACGTCCAAATGACGTCACTGGGACGACGACCGCCGGCGGTGGACAAAGCGCGAGACTGAAACACCCGGCGCCTTTTACAGGCTAGGGTATTGAAAGCGTTCTTAACACGCAACAAAAGGATATTTTCACAGCACTGCAATGTTAAAATACATGATAATGTTGGCAACGAACGCTTTAAATTCAACACTGACTTGGCTGAGAGATTAAAGGAGCCAGGGTAACTACATGCTGCTATGTCGGCAATGTAATACACCCTTTCATCAAAGGGAAAGAATCTTATCCTTTCGGTTAAACCCTAAAAACAGTCTCGAAAAGTTTTCATAAGTTAAATGCCTAGCATACGTCTTGAGTGATTTCAAATATGCGAACAAATCTAATAAAAATGGGGAGCTCCCGGTAAATTTGCCTCCAAAGCAGAAGTTGTTGATCGCACTAACGAGATCCATTTTCCCACACCCATTCCTCACACGTGCAACCGTTCCCATCAGCACCCCAGTCGTCCCTCTACCCCGCTCCTTCCCTCTCTCTTCCCTCCATTAGTGTCCCGACGTGGTTATATATTTCAGCCCCACACCACCACCGACGGGTGTATAGGCGAGGTGAAAACAGCACAGCCGGCTGCCCTGACGGCTGTGAAGGACGTAATGCGAATACTGAACCAACTAGCTTCAAAATCATGCTGACAAAAATACGTGCGGTCCGCTCGCCATATTGCGTAGTAGGTGAGAGATGTACATAAGCGGTGAACTAAGAAGCAGGAACTCGAATGAAATAAAGCGATATTTGAGAATACCTGCAGATGTAAGATATTGTTGATAAACACTAGCTTATTAAATTTAGATGGGGTATTAAACAGAAACCTTCCATCTCTCAGGTTTCCTGGTCTAATATCCTCAAAGATCCACTGAAAACTATCCACTTTTGCGAGAACAGTCTCAACTTGGTCCATTACACCCCATATTACCCGCTTATCTCTGTTTCCAGGTTAGGCCAGGTCGGCACGCAACTGTTCTGCCGGGTACGATCGTACCCTGTGCCATGGGTACGGACTGCAGATTAAGCAACATGGCAGCCGCCCTAATGCAAAGGGCGCCGCCATTTTGAACGGCTCACTGCATCTGGACATTGCAAATGGGATGACTTGGCCTGTTATGGAGCTAAGACGACGTTTTTTGTCAATGTTTCGTGGAATGAAAGCGAAGAAAACAACTAATGCTATTACGAGGAAGGCGCATTTCGCAGCTTTCAAGAACTTTGCCAGTTTCTAACATTTTTTTATAATGACGCTGTGAATTTATCAATCATTTCGAATGTGACAACTGAATTACCTTGTCACCAAACTCATTTCAGGATGAACTTTGGTCTTTGACAATTGATAAGGGTTGCGTGAAACTAAGCTAAAGATCCCGTAAGCTACTTAGAGCTCCAATATTGCAGTGCTGTGATGACGGTGTCGGTTAATGGTGAGCTGAACTGAATTGAAAAGAACTGAAACATTGTCAGATGTGTTTGTCGCTAATCCGTCGTTAAAGTAAGCGTCAATACTTTGCAAGTCACAAAAGCCGTTATGCCGTAACACTTACCGATATCAACTTACGGACTAACTTAGCCTAGAGAGCTTACCGCTACGCCTTAACCTAGAGCCGCGTTTCGCACTTAAACTAAATTTGAAGCCGCGACTGGCCGGGGAGCTCAGACAGACCCGGAACTGGATATGACGTCACTAGTTGCCATGACAACAAAGCGCCCTCTGTCAATATTAGGAAAATAAAATGGAAAAGGGTTGGCTTATCACAATCGAGATGTGATGTCCATTTATGGAATTCAATTAACAAACTTTTCAAGGGAATTCGATTTTGAGAAGTTCTTTAAAATTCCTCCATAGAAAGTTCTAAAACAATCAGCGTCCAAATCAGTCTGAAACTTGATCAAATCGGTTACTTCTCCACTGCAATTCGCCAGTCCTCTCCAGTTCAACAAAGTTCCACCGTTTTCACACGGCTCCCATCCGTTCCATTCCCCGTCTGTTTTCCGCTGGCCAGCCGCGGCCTCCCACCGACCGGTGACGTCACGCCCGTCGGACCAGTGACGTCACTGGGGAGCTATGGCCACTCACCTGGGCGCAGTGACGCGCACCACGAGCCCACTATAACACCGGCCGAACGCCTAAGGAGAGAGGGACCGGCCACATCATCACGACGCCGACCGAAAGCGTCTCCACGGGCCGCACCGCCGCGGGCGCCGCCCAGAGCGAGCGGTACACTGACGCAAATTTGGAAATGGGAAGTGACAAAATGCCTAAACTTTTGCGATGTCTCTCTTTAAATTCTAAGGCCATCAGAGCCAGGCAGAACAAGTCCCAAATGTATAGGTCTTTAAATGTATTTCGGAATAATCTTCAAATTTGGAAACTTCCATTAAGAAAAGTTTTCTAATAATATAGAAGATACCGAAAGATGCTGATTAAGATATGGGACGTCGATATGAGTAGTAGCAAATGACAGCCCAGAATTTTGAGCGCTATACGCAAACATGTCTTGCGCATCTTTCAGAACAGCTGCACTGCAATCCATATCCAAACCATGGCGCAAAGCCGGTGATTCTATGCCTACGTAAATAGCTTCAATTTTCAATCACGATATTTTGCTAACCAAGTAGATTCATTCGCTCGTTCAAACGCCGAGTAGCTCGGGCGGCGCCCGCGTGGCAGCCCGGTGGAACACCCTCGCGACAGGGAGCCTTCGACCTCGGCGACTCACTCTGGAGTTTGTTCAAAGGTCAACACACTCCCGAGTTGGAAAAGAGTGGTGCGACAGGCGTGGGACAGTCGCGGCCGTTTCTTTCCGCCTTCGATTTGGCCTCAGCAGAACCCACTAAAAAAACGACTGCTGTGAGACAGCAGCAAACCTGAACAGGGAGACTTTACAAAGATGGGACGAAGGAAAGAGGTGTTTATAGGAAGGAGCTTTCTTTGCGGCCAGCTTTTAAGAGTGACGAAAACTAGACCAGTGTCAGGATACTGCACGAGCCTGGGACCATGACGAGGGAAGGAGGCAGGCGAAGACAGTCCAAAAGAGGTGCGTGTCCCGGCCGCGGCTGACGAACCGGCTCACTCCGGGCCGTGTTAGGGGTGAATTAGAGCGCCGGCCGGTGACGTCACGCATTACGTCATCGAGCCGTGTGACGTCACTGTGGCGACAGGCGGCGAGTCAACCGGCAAAACCGGCGCGGCGAGACAATAACTAAAAGAAAAAAAGAAAAAAGTGGACCAAAGATTGAGCCTCTGAGCATCCCGGACTGGTAATTATTTGCGTACCAAAATACCATTAATTACAGTTAAATTAATCTGACTTTTTACTTCTGCAAAAAGATCAATATTCCTTATTCATTTTCATTTTTGTCGCCAAGTTTTGCCGTTTAGCTCTGCCATGCCTGCGAGTGAGTGTGTTGCGAACAGCTACTAACTCTGCCAAACTGTACAGTGGACATAGAAGATCAGACGGGGGACCGGCGGGCCGGCAGGACTCGCGGCGAGACGCCCGACCGGCCAGTCCGCCGACCCCCCAGAACTAACGCACGCATTCTCCTGGCACCTGGCGCGTATCTACCTCCTCAAACTAAGCAGCCCAGCGCCGGCAGCCGGCAGCGCGACACGCCGGCCAGTGCTACCATTTCAGCGGCCCGACTGCAACACAGGCGGGCCGGGCGCGCTCGGTCACCGGCGGCAGACGCTCGCGAGCGGCGGGGGCGCAGCGGGGGCGTCCGGGCGCCGCCGGGGGCGCCCCGCGGGTCGGTGTGTGTGTGAATGACTCTCAAAGCTCACAAATAAGCAGCCGTTGATCCGCCACCCACGGAGCCGCCGCATTCCGCATGCTGCAGCGTCTGCCGACGCCCGACCGAGCGACCCGGCCACAAACAAACGGCTGTTCGGCGCCGGCCGCCGTCAGCCGCCGGCAGCCAATCAGCGCTCAGAACGGCGCGCTACAGCCAATCAGCGCTCTAGCCGCGGCTGACGGCGATCGGCGCCGAACACAACACATGCAACCGGCCGCTATAGGCGGCACCGTACGCCTCGGTGGACACACGTCGGCAGCACGCACCTCAATTTTTCTGCCCTCTACCACTTGTCCGTGAAGTTTGTCACGCGCTCTGTCGGCGTCTTGGCTGACGCTGAATGTGACAAACCCAAACCCCTGGCGGACGGCAGACCATGCAACAAAGAGAGAGGGGTAGTCAGGCAGTCAGTGACGGCCGTATCCATGCGCAGGCGAGCACGCGTGCAGTCGGGCGGCCGCCGGGCGGCCGCGGCGGTCGGCTGTCTAAGGTGCTGGGGGTGCACTCACTGGCCCGCCCCGGGCCGGGAAAACGGCAGGGAAATGGGGAGAAGGAGGGCATAGTAGGGAAGTGAAAAATTCGGCGAAGAAAAGGGACATTATCAGGAAACTGAGAGGAATATTGGGGGGGGGGGGGCGGGGGGTGACAGGGTCAAAGAACGGAAGTCAAAGGGTCAGGGTCCAAAAGACAAAGAGGGGAAGACAGGAAACAAAAGAAGGACGGAACGCAATGAAGGGAGGTACATATAGGAGGAATACATAGAACAAGGATTTCGGGGATGTGGGCAGGGCAGGAATGATAGCCGAATGGGTGAACCTATTTTTGAAACCAACGAATGGGGATGACTTCAAAGTGTTGGGATGGGAATAATATAAGAGAAGCATGACCGTTAGGTGACAGGCAAATAAGCATCAGGATGCATGGCCAATGGTCCCAAAACAGCGAAAAAGAGGAAAAGGAAATGTCAGACGATACTTTAACAAACGAAGTTCTAGCTGAAACTGTGGAGATGAACTGGTTATGACATCGAAAGACAAGAGAGCTTTATCTTCATAACTTTATCTGATGGGAATCAGCGTTACAATGCATGAAACAATTATAACGGGGAAGTGGGTAAGAGGATGCGAAAAGGGTGAATGGAAAAACGGACAGGAAGAGTAGGGGAAAACTGCGGAGAGAGGGTGAGGGAGAGGGACAACGGAGAGCCCGGCGTCGAAGGTCACGCTGTACTGTACAGAGAGTTAATGGCAACCGAGTCAACACATCATACAGCTAGCTGCCAGCCGGGGGAGCGTCAACGGGGGCGACGAGCGAGCGGCGCGCATCAGCCTTCCCTACAACCGAGGCTTAGTCGGGCCATTTCAAATAGTGACAGAGCGAGACAGAGAGACAGAGGCGACCCTGATCTCTCACAGGTTCATCGAGAGCATCAACAGGGCCACCCAGAAGCTCGTGGGGTCATTAAGATCCCCCGCCCACCACCCTTCTAAACGTCCTGGCGAGCGGCGGAGGTGCCTGGGCTGAGGGGAGGGGACCCCTCGCCGCGGCACCTCACCCCTCGCTGAGATGGACACCGACATGCTAATGCACGTAATTTATCAGGCACATGGCGCATGCGCAAAACGCCAGACCAGGGCCACACAAAACGTGCGCAACGCCGCCGGGTGCAGAATTTCGTTAAAGGATGGGGCCAGGAATAGAGCCTTGTATAGCCCGCGGACAAAGGAGAAGATTTGGAGAAAAGGCCAATTGGGACATTGTATTGGGACATAATGGAAGGACCATGGTTTAACACGTGATTTCCAGAGATCAGTGCGTAGGATACTGAAGAGGGACATACTGGAAGTATTACGTGAGGTCAAGATGTTGTCACATAGGATGGGGAGGATCGGGAGGTTCTACCGCACACATCAAGTGTCACAGTGGGAGCCGCTCTGACCGGGGCCCAGTACGGGATCATCATACAGTCACAAGTCTCGGCACACAGTGTATCAACTCGAGTGATCACAAAGATAGGGCTCATCAGCGATCAAACAGCTAACGATCAACGACACGATGCAATAGCAACCAGTCTTACGGTTAACTGCAGATATTAGGCGATTGGCAAACACTGTGAACACGCATCACCGACATGTAAGGCGCAGACAAAGTCCCGAAAAACGACCCAAGGTAGTGTGTCCAGCTTTTCTCATCAAATGCATTCCATTGCAATGCTCCAAACCAGACATTTATCTGTCAGAAATACAAGCCAGTGTCTTGGCGTTTGAGGGTTGGCGGTTGTTTACAATGGAGCGATTCCTCAGCCAGCTAGCTACCAAAACCAGGTACCTGGATTTTGTTAATAAAATGTCCAATGGCAGACGTTTTTTGTCCATGCGACGGCGTGCACTATCTGGCGGTGAAGGTGACTTATGCGCGCTCGACTGTATTTAAAAGCATGTCACATCGACTTACGGCACTTCCACTAGTCGTGCTATCGTTGACGGATTCTCAGATACTCTTCCACCTACGATTAGGCAGTTGGTTAATTATCAATCTTTGGAAGGTTACAGCAAGACACACTACCTTTGTGTCGTTGAGGGAGAAAATAAAGCTATATGAAAAAGAATTTACGTTAACAAGAACTGTTGATTACTTTTACTTTACATTCCCCATCCTGAAAAGTATGTGTAACGTTAAACAAGTCCAATAAAACTTTCATTCAGCAAACAGGACAGAAGAGACAATTAAATGTAACTTTAGAATTTAATGACGTCACCGGGTTCTACCTTGGAGCCTCGCTCGTTGAAGATGATTTCCACGTCCAGTATGGGTCCGAATTGCTGAAAACAGCGTGGTAAAACACCGTTAGAGAAAAATGAAATACACAGTCAGTCTCACAAACCACGGTATATTGACATCGTTAAATGCTCGCAACAGTACGGAAAAGCAGTGGCTTACATTTGCGTCATGAGCGAAGTATCTAATAATGATTCATTGGCACGTAACGATAACTATGCACTCAAAGCTAAATAGCAGAATGACCCACAACTTTGAATTCCAAACTAAAGAATGCGCCTTCCTACCATACACTAGGGTCACGTGCCATTGCTGTCCACATAAGTTGTGTAGTCATAGCATGGCTAGTCACAAAGGCACCACCGGTCAGTACCATATCGATTAACCCATTCCCCCTACCTTCCCCCCCCCCGTAACGATAAACATGGCACATTCCAGCCCCGGTACGACAGCGCCATTTAAGCACATGAATCATTTCGATGGCGCAGTCTGTCTTATAAATGATGTCTCAGAAGTGATGCCGTCAACAGACAGAAACGGAACGTGAATTTTGAAAAGTTATTTTGCCCATCACCAGCAAGGTAAATAATCAGGACAAAGTCAAATGAATCAATAAGCCAAGTATGGCAGAGCTTTATCGAAAAGCTTTACTTTTTTTTTGCGTGAGCTGCTGGGAAACGGGCTTGCAGTCAGATAATTTCAAAATTTACATTTCGATGAATGCGAATGGTAATGGTGAGTTTTATGAGCAATGCCTTCCAAAAAAGACAGTATATCCTTGAAACGCACCGTAATTTGCACCTATTGTCAGTCATCAAGTCAGCCTCATAACTTGGCATTTGGATAATTTCATCAAATATTATCCAATCCAATCCAATCCAATCCTATCCTATCCTATCCTATCCTATCCCATCCCATCCGTCCCGCGCCAGTACTGACCCCGAACATGGCTCGCAGGTCCGGGTCGCGGAACCGGAACGGTATGTTGCTGACGTGCAGCCTTTTGGGTTGCTCCTTGGTTGCTGGAGGGGTGCCGGCGGCACTGGCGGCCGGCAGCGCCGGGCTGTCCGCCTCCGCCGCTCCGGCCGGCTCCGCGCCAGACTCCGGGGCAGTCTGTGAAACAGACAGGGGTCAGGTCAGGTTAGGTCAGGTCAGCTGATAGGTCCGCGCCCGACTCGGGGGCAGTCTGGGGGACAGACAGGGTCAGGTCAGGTCAGCTGAGGTAACGCCAGCTCTCCTGAAATGGTAATGGTAAACCTAAGTGACGTTAAATTTGAGACGAAGAGACCCGCAGTCGACTCAGCTGCACTCTGAGAGGTCAGGTCAGGTACACCGAGGTCAATGGTGTTAATGGGAGGAACAATGAGGTTCAGACCGCCTCGGAACGCTCATCGGCCAGTCACTGAGGTCGGGTGACTTACATCTGTAAGGTCAGTGCTCAGAAGTGCCGCTGAAAGGGCTCTCAGAGGAGTGATAACCGTTGGACCGCGACCTTAGCACGCTCTGGTGTGGAGTACAAGAGGAGATGAGGTCCCAGCGGTCACGGAAGGTGTTAGGTGTACCCTGAGCGGTGGATGGGTGGGGAGTCGGGGGCTAGTTGGAAGACGCATTTGAAATATGGTATGTAACGAATTGCGGAACAATACCAACAATCATGTCAGATTAGGTAGGTCGTTTCAAATTGCAGCTGAAAGAAGCCAAATTAGATTTCGGCAGGTCTTTCGACGCCTTCAGTTACTCACACACAACATTAATCTGCTAGCAAAGACCAACTTTTTTGTTTATTGGGGCTTACGGGCGCGCCGACTACAAGGTCAAAGACCAACTTCCTTACGGCATTCAGTTCAAAGGACCAGTAAACTAGCAAATTAGACTGCAGAAAAGCCGAAATTATATCTAAATAAGCTGCTTAGCACGCACCAATTCCAAACGTTTTCAGTCTCAGAAAAACTTTCATAAGTTGCTTCAAAGCCAGACAAATATGTAAGCATTCGCTCCTTCAGTCATAGTTTATCTAGGACCAAAACTCAGTTCCTACTCACCACTTTGCCTAGCTTATTAAGGAATTATTACGCAGCTTGAGCTATGAATGATCTTAGCCTCGGAGTTTCTAACTAGCATTATCCACGACCGTAATGCCCAAGGAATATAAAGTTGGTCACTCGGTAAGTTGGCTGACCTGCACTTGTGACAGAAAAAAGACACTAAACGTTCATGCCTGATTAGATTCCGAAAATCAGCTTCGAAAAAAGGATGCCAGGGGAAGATCAGACATAAAATAGCTCCGCTATGCTGGCGTTATAAAGAAAGCAGTTGCCAAACAATAAAAAAGCGCAGATTGACGATTCTGTCTCAACCTCGTCCTGATATAAAATAAAAAAATAAGTAATGCTTCAAGCAATGACAGCTTCTCGTTTCAAAGAGAAGATATTGGCCAACTTCACAACACACTTTGTCACAGGGGTTATACGAGAATATAATACAGTGATATTGCTTCTCTGAGGAAGACAATTTATCAAAAATTTAAAAGAAGAAATATGAGAAGCTCTGAACGGGGTCGGCGGGGAAAACCACTTTCCCAGGTCGACGGTAACAAAGGGAGCGCAGTCACCATTTATAATCCGGGGGACGGGGTCTGCGCCTGGCGACGCGGCTCGCCCGGTAACCGTCAGCTAGAACAGCAATCAGTGTTCACTTCAGCCTAAACCACGCGCAGCTATGCGACGCGACGTTTTTGTGATCTTGCTGTTATCAAACAAAGGTTGATAGCCCTCCACCGCTACCGTTCATCCCACGAGCGATTTAATTGTCAATCTCATCTTCATTTTCCGTCCCATTTCCGTTCCGCTTCTCTCTAACCTCCATTGCCACCAGTCCTCTCCCGTGTGTTCCATGACACACTAGTTCCAGTTCCATCCCGACCATGTCCCCCGCCCACGAAAACGACGCCAAACGACCACCGTGAGCCCTCGACCACCTTTAATCGCTCCTTACTCGGGCATTTACACGGTGCCACATCTTCCGGTGCCGACAATCCCCAATTCACCGCAACGACAGACCATCAGCGCCGCTTATCTCACCGAGAACACCAACGATCACCCATTCGGCAAAACTAATTAGCAACGGAATTACGGCACAAATGGTGTTTCTAAGCGGCACATCAAAACCCCCAGCCGAGACCGGCCTGCCCCGGCCTAGACCCTGCTCGTAATTGCCTTACGAAATGAAACCGTCGAGTCTGATACGTTGGTTTCTGTCCGCTTTTATCCACTTTCTGGATCTGAGCCACGCGGGAGCGCAAACAAGACACCACCGCCGACATATATGGCGAGCAAATGAGATAAACAGAGCACGAGTGCGATTTTTCTGCGTCCGGTTGCGAGATGGCAGACGCGAAAAACAGGCAGTCGTCGACCGGTGGAGCAAACATACATCTACAGAGATGGACACAAAGTGCAGGCGAAAGACATCGCACACAGCGACAGCCCAAAAATAAAGATTCCTCTGAGGCTGGTAAATTAAGCAATGAAAATACCATTCACAACCGCCCTCGTTCAAGTAAATGATGAATGGCAGCCATAACGACACTTGTAATGAACGCTCACTAATCATTTCACAGTTAAAAACGGCTCACTTGAATTTTTAATTTGACTGAATAAGACTAATGGAGCGAGTTATTAAAACGCAGAAATAGACATGGAACAATGCAACCTTACCCGACAGGGACAACAGAGCATTCAATGACACACCAAACATAAGCGAGTTGGGGCAAAGGCGGTGGACGGTGGACGGTGGCCCATGCAGGTCGGCGGAGACAGTCACTAACCGTGGCGGTGGTCGGCGGCGGTTCGACTCCGTTCGGCTGTCCGCTGGCCAGCGAGGTGACCGCCGGCGGTGAGAGGGCCGCCTCCTTGGCGAGCTCGGCTGCCTTGGCGGCCGGCGGCTCGCCGTTGGTGGCCGGAAGCTGGTACGGAGCGGCCATCTGAGCAGTCTGGACCATCTGCTGTGGGGAGACACAGAACGGCCGAGGTTAGACGGGTTATCCAGGGTCAGACGGAGTTATAAACGGGTTATAAAGGGGTAACAAAGGGGTAATAATGGGGTTCGAATGGAGAATATGAGGTCAAAGACAACAAGGTATACTGGTATGCTACCGCATTTACCGTATTAATGGTACACGTATTTGCAAACACTGTGGATGATACGACCAACAAATAGATGATTAAACAATTTGATATAGGAGACATTATAAGGCAGGCCTTTATGAGTCACATTCGCAGCTGATGGGCTGCGATATCTGGTTTCAAAATATGTTAAGAGTTTGTGACGAGTAATCTAAAACCAAATCAACTCAAAGGCTTATCAACACTCTGGACTAATTCTGCAGCGAAATAGTGTTTGGAACGACCAGGCACCAACAAATGGCCACAATCACTCCTTAGTGGAAAAAATCCAAACTGAAATACGGTCCCAACTCCGACTTTCCGACTAGCTAACACCTGTTCCGGATAAGAAACCTCCCCCAGCAACAGTCAGCCTGACCGACAGCCGTTCGTTTGAGGCCGATGAACCCATCCCTCCCAGGGTTCGGAAATAAACTGCCGGCCATTTCGCCAATGGGCGGCTGAAAGCAGCCGTGAAATTTTCAGCCCTGCGCTAACACCCAATTAAGTTCAGATTTATCCTAACCACGGTGATTTGTTGGTATATGAGGTAGGTGATGTACATCATTCAACGAGGCCAGCAGTGAAGAGGGCTTAGAAACTTCCTCTTCCGGTTCCGGTTTTCTAAAAAAAGGTATATGAAGTAAGTCAGAGCAATTTCTCCTAGGGTTCTTGGCACTGGCGGAAATTGCATGAGCGATCTTGCTGCCAGGTCGATCCGCAGAAACCTAATCCGTATACATACCTTGCACTGAAACTTGACAGACAAGAATGCTTTTAATCACGCTTCCTCTACCACTATTCCCAAATTGTCAAAAGTCTTTCGAAACCTCCGTCCCATAAAACAACAAGTTAAAAGAAAAAAGGACCATCAGACATCCAAAGAACGTTTCAGTCTCTCCACGTCCACTGAGCTAACGAGGTCAAATGTTCCCTCGTTTATCTGCATAACCGCTAATTCGCTGGCACACCGCGACCGTAACCAAATTAATCGCCTAAACCCGATTAACATCCGAGCATTCCTTGGGTGCGTTCATGTGATTATCTGGAATTAGCTGTGATTGTTCCGGAGTGAGTAACTTAGTTATCCAAGCAGGCCATCAATCTAATTATCCACCAAAGGTTTTCTATAGGTATGAGAGGCGCTTTTCGCTTACTGCAATGTTGAATTACATGCGAAGAAGTAGACCATCAAATGCTTGTATGCTTAGCTCCCATCACACTATCGAGATCCTTAGCTCCAACTCCCATCCGAACCCTCTAACTCGCTCCCACTATCTACCCCCCCCTCTCTCTCTCTCTCTCTCTCTCTCTCTCTCTCTTTTCCCTTCCATCTCCAGAACATGTCATTACCACCATACCAGACACGGCGCCGGCCGACGTAGCGACCATCGCCCAGACATCGCCCCACATCGCCCGGGTCGTTATCGCCCGACCAGACGTCCATTACATCTGACGGCAGCCGCGTGAGCGGCCCAAAAGCATTGTTACCAGATGAGCGGCGCCGTGCTGCCATATTTGCAGAAGGGTGATTATAGCGAAATGCATGATGTGGGTATATGCGCTGATGAGATGCTGGTAAAATGGTGCCATTATGCCCAGGGGGTTGATGGATAAGTTTGCGTTCAGAGTGCGCGATGTGTGTAAATATCCCTGGAGTCTGGATATAGGGTTTCATGTTCATCAAAAAGAGATTAGGTGCGTCGTTAGTTCGATTGATCCACGCTCGCTTAGGAGTAATAGCTGTTACCACAGATTCCCTACCACGTAGCAATACTAATCAATATTGTAACACCAAGTAACACACTCTGCCATGATCGGAGCGCGTTCGCAAAGAGCTCCACATAGCCCACCAGTTTCAACAGTCTCACACTGATCTCAAACTGTGCTTCATCCACTACCCACAGAACTGCGCTCTCTGGACCAATACCGTCCAAACTTGCCCATCACCTCTCACTACACCGCAATCACCAAGTTCGGTGAGGGCACAGGTCTCAGGAGAGGCACCGGCCCCGTAACTTGAACGAACCCCCCGACCGGTGCACAGTGGCCCTTTTTCAGAATTAGCACGCATTAATTCCCACATTACCTGAAAGTGGTGCTAGACATCACCACGTGATCAAGGACGTGTTCCCTGCCAATGCAAAGAGAAGAAAAGAAACGAACTGCCCAAGGAGATTCGGCCCAACAGCGACAGGCCGCTCGGCCCAAGATTTGGCGCACGTTCGCACGGCTCGCCCGCCGGCCCAGGCCGCTCCGAACGCAAGTGTGGCGAGCCCGCCAGCCGACCACGCTGCACTGACCGCCAGGACGCCCCAGGGCGTCACGTGACCGCATCTACAGCTGTTGCCAGCCACCGTTAGTCGGCCCCGGCCAGGCAGCAACTAAGGTCAGCGCGACGCGAACAATACAAACACATAGGTAGGCGCTTTTGGCGTTAGATCTTAAGCCGACCACGGGACTTGTGCGGCTTGGACATCAAACGCGACAAGAAATCGGACAGTTTTTCTTGAGCACAGCGTTATGCCTACATGACATTTCAATAAGCACATCTTATGGCAAAAGTCAAGCCACATTTAGGCGCACACCAGGTGACACCAGCTTCGAGCCAGGTCAATGAGCTTATAGTCGTATCGAACAGGAGCCACAGCCGCTCGTGGACGGAACTGGCTCACGTTATCCACCGTAGAAGCAAAATGGCGCAAAATGGCGCGATGCCCTTTGGTGGACATGGTCAGAAGAGATCGGCGATTTGAACGATGTATAATACGACATGTTCCAGAGTGTTCTACTTAACATAAAGCTTCATATGTATGCCGCCATCTCCAGTTGATAATTGTTCTGTTATTGTGTCCACAATATTCGGCAAAAGTGGTCTATTTAAGTTTATACAATGAAAATTGTGGTTTCTAGGGTTTCTACGTAAACTCAGCTTCACAGTCATGCCACTAATGTTTAATATTTTCTCACCGAAAGCCTTACAAATTGATGTTCATCTCACCCTACTTTTTAGGGTCCGCCGGTGGTGTCCGCGCGCCTCTCGACAAACTTCGATTTTGCGGTCAGTTTTACGAAAGACAACTATTTTTTAGGAGGTAAAAATGGCACCATCGGATAGTTTGGAATGTTTTGCACACGATTAGACTGCTTTTTACTCAAAAGAAGAGAAAAAAATATTTTGAATTTATGCGTGCTAATTCTGAAAAAGGGCCACTGTGCGGTGACCTCTGCTAGAGCGCCGCGGGCGCCTCGGGGCGGCGCGGGGCGCCGGCTGGGCGCCCGTTGGGCACCCGAGGGCGTCGGCTGGCCGGTCCAGCGTCCATCCTTTATTCAATCGATTGCCCCGCGCCGGTCAGACCCAGCGCTGGCCGCCCGTCGGACCCGATCAATCGCACAGTCGTCACCGACGCGTCGCAAACGTCGCAGGAGCGTCACGAGCGCCGCCGGAGCGTCGCCAAAGTCGCCAGGGCGTCGCCAGTGTCGCATGAGACGTGACGAGCGTCTAACGGCGTCGCCTGGGCCCATCGGCTGATGTGCGGCTCTGAGGGAGGTCACATCCCACTGGAATTGTCTGCTCGTCGCCTGCTGTGACCTTAGGAGCGCGCTGGGAGCTTTGTGAGCCAACGTTAATCCACCACAAAGGGCGCCACTGCTGGCGACACGGCCATCCCACTTGGACGGGGAGAGCGCCCGGTGATACATTTTATATTTGGGGAATTCATAACGCCGCGGCGAGCCGGGGGGGAGGGAGGGAGAGAGAGAGAGAGAGAGAGAGAGAGAGAGAGAGAGAGAGAGAGAGGGAGAGAGAGAGAGAGAGAGAGAGAGAGAGAGAGAGAGAGAGGGAGAGAGAGGGCCATCAGCCGGACAGTAAAGTTGAATGGTGAGACCGTTGGATGGTGCTGTGAAACTTCCGCACTGCAGAGGAGTGGACGAGAAATCGATGTGACGAGCGCTGAAAACTGGACTGCTGGTGAGGAGATATGAAGGGTAAATACAGGGAGGGAAGCGAGGTGAAAGGCAAGAGACAAGTTAGGACATAGGAGGAAACAAGAAGCCGAAAAGTGAGTAGACGTGATATAAGGAGGCAGGCTAAAACGAGGAAGGTGAAATATTAGGAAATAGGTATGGATATTGATGATATTGATGAGGGAACAGGAAAAAAATTATACGAAGAATATTTAGCATATTTCATGTTTCTGACAAACTCTAGACGGACGAAATACTGAGAAACTTAGCGGTAGGAGACACCGCATCCAGTTACAGACGTAAGGACCGGCAGTGGGCACTCACAGCACGCACCATACGTCACGCACTGAAGGCTATTAGCAGGGGCCGCCCGCGACAGACCATCCATCGCCGTCGGACCCCTCGGCACCGCCCCCAGGTGATTGGGTCCGTGTCAGAGGCACTCTGGCGCACACCGGCCGGCGCTGGTTACCGCTGGTTGATACAGGATGCTGCTGGTTACCGCTGGTTGAAGCTGGAGTGGTATCGACAGGATGAGAATTCTAACAGCAGACTAGAGCAGCTGGATATCCACCAAATGTCACTATTCTAAACTCTGTCCGTTCGCATCGATGACGTTCGCAAACTAATACGCACATGTTGTGGCAGGTGGCTCAAGGAATTTAGACTCATTATTATGTTGTCTCATATTTTCCCCACATCCCCTTCTCCTCCATTCATTTCCATCTTTCCTACGTTCCATCCTATCTCCCCGTCTATCCTTTCCACTTTCCCATCTCTCCCCACGGCCACACCTCATTCGAACTCCGCCGGCGGACCGGAGAGCGCGCCGCTCGCCATGAATTTGTCAGCCGAGTAATCCGGGGGATTTGTG